TTGGGTAAATCGTAGTGTCATTGCTAGATCATATGGTAGTTCTATTTAAAAATTTTTTTAAATTAATTGATTTATTTAAGTAATCTCTACATCCAGTGCAGGACTTGAGCTCACAGCCCTGAGATCAAGAGTCACACGTTCTCCCAAATGAACCAGCCAGGCACCCCTCTATTTTTTATTTTTTTAAAAGATTTTATTTATTTATTCGACAGAGAGAGAGCACAAGCACAAGTAGGCAGAGAGACAGGCAGCAGGAAAGGGAGAAGCCCGCTCCCCGCTGAGCAGGGAGCCTGATGCAGGGCTTGATCCCGGGACTCCGGGCTCATGACCTGAGCTGAAGGCAGATGTTTAACCGACTGAGCCACCCAGGTGCTCCTATTTTTAATTTTTTAATAAGGATTTTATTGATTTATTTACTTACTTATTTGAGAAAGCAAGGGAGGGAGAGCATCAGCACGTGTGTGAGTGGGGGAGGGGCAGAGGGAGAGGCAGAGAGAATCCTTTTTATTTATAATTTTATTTATTTGACAGAGAGAGTGAGAGAACATGACCCAGTGAGGGGCGAGGGGTAGAGGGAGAGGGAGAAGCAGGCTCTCCACTGAGCAGGGAGTCCAACACAGGGGTTGGTCCCAGGACCCCGGGATTATGAGCTAAACCGAGGCAGACGCCTAATGGACAGGGTCCCCCAGGTGCCCCCTTTGTGTACTATGATTACCTAAAGTCCATTCCTCATTCACGTTTCCTCAGGCTTTCCCTCATGTCCTTTTTCTGTTCCCAGATCGCACATACACTCAGGCCTCATGTCTCGGGCTTCTCCGGGCTTTGGTAGTGTTTTAGACTCTGTTTTTGACGACTTCGACAGTTTTGAGACACGCTGGCCAGGAGCTTGGCAGAATGTCCTTCTGCTGGCACTGTCTGATGTGCTCCTCAGGACAGGACTGGGACTGTGGATTCTGGGAGGAAGGCTCAGGAGGTCAAGAGCCCTTCTCCTCCATTTTGCCGGGGGTGCATGCCCTCACCTTGACTTGTTGCTGCTGGTGGTAACCTTGGCCACCTGCCCAAGGTCGTGTTGGTCAGGTCTCTCCACTGTCAAGTTACTCTGTTTTTCTCCATTCCCGACCTGTCCTCTTTGGAAGGAAGTGGCTAAGGGCAGCCCATCCTTCAGAAGTAGGGAGTTACATGCCACATTCTTCTTCATTTTCATTTATTTATTTTAAAGATTTTATTTATTGGGCGCCTGGGTGGCTCAGTGGGTTAAAGCCTCTGCCTTCGGCTCAGGTCATGATCCCAGGGTCCTGGGATTGAGCCCCACATCGGGCTCTCTGCTCAGCAGGGAGCCTGCTTCCTCCTTTCTCTCTCTTTGCCTGCCTCTCTGCCTACTTGTGATCTCTGTCTGTCAAATAAATAAATAAATAATTAAATTTATAATTTAAAGATTAAAAAAAAATAAAATATCTTAAAAAAAGATTTTATTTATTTGACAGAGAGAGAGAGAGAGAGAGAGAGAGAGAGCAGGGGGAGCAGCAGGCAGAGGGAGAATCAGACTCCCCGCAGAGTGTGGAACCTGACATAGGGCTCAATCCCAGGACCCCGGGATCGTGACCTGAGCCCCAGGCAGACACTTATCCACTGAGCCACCCAGGCAGCCCCAGAGTCACTATTTTTTTTTAAGTAAACTCTACCCCCAACATGGGGCTCAAACTCAGGACCCCAACATCAAGAACTGCACGTGCCTCTGACTGGGTCACCTTTTGAGGTCAGAGTCTCTATGTGCGTCGTTTGTAAATCTTCTGCACAGTGAGGTCGTCCCTTCATCCCCACTTACTTCGTCTCCAGGTCTTAATTCATCACCGCGTGGGTCATTCCCTTCTTCTAGGGGAGGCGTTTCTTACAACGGGGGACAGTGGTGTGAGTGCTCTGACCACCTCGTCTGAAACAACAGCTCACCTCCACCACACCCCTCTGGGCTGGTCCTGTGCCCTTCATGTCCCCTCACCTGGGTCCTGCCTCCCCGACCTCCGGAGACCAGGCATGATGGGGGGCATGTGGAAGTCTTCTCTGGATCTCAAGTGTGGCTCACCGCTGGACCGGATTGGGACAAATCCCTTCAATCCCCAATTTTCCCAATTATAAAATCCTCCTGGGAGCCAGTTACATGTGTGTGGTCACTGAGTCAGAAAATCTAAATCTGGAGCTTAGGGAAGGGCATTTTACATGATAGCTTCATTGGGGAATAATTCACAAACTCACCCTTTTAAGGTCTACAAGTCAGTGTTTTTTAGTATATGTACAGAGCTGTGCAACACCAGCATTCTCTAGTTCCAAAACATTTCCATCACCCCTAAAAGAAACCCCATACCCCTGAACAGCTACTCCCCTCTCCCTGGCCTGGGCAACCAGGAATCTAGTTTCTTTCTTTCTTTCTTTTTTTAAAGATTTTATTTATTATTTGACAGAGAGAGAGAGAGAGAGATCACAAGTAGGCAGAGAGGCAGGCAGAGAGAGAGGAGGAAGCAGGCTCCCCGCTGAGCAGAGACCCCCCCCCCGCCCCCGATGCGGGCCTCGATCCCAGGACCCTGAGCCGAAGACAGAGGCTTAACCCACTGAGCCACCCAGGCGCCCCAGGAATCTAGTTTCTATCTCTACATCTCATCTAGTTTCTAGATCGTTCATATAAATGGACTCGTCATATGTGGTCTTCTGTGACTGGCTTCTTCCACGTAGCGTCATGTTTTCTGACCCATCCACACTGTAGCACGAATCCGCGCTTTGTCCCCATTTGTGGTGGGGTATATTCCGCACTGTGTGGAGACGGCATTTTGTTTATCCGTCCCACAACAGAGGGACATTTGAGTGGTTTGCGCCCTTCAGCTATTGTGAGTGACACCTCGGGGAATGGAAAGACATTTAACGAGCCTCCAGGTCCCCCTGACATTTGCTCTCGTTTGGGGCTCCAAGGCACCATCTTGTTGCAGTGTGCAACACTGCACACGTCTTGCTCTCTCAACAGCCCACAGAGGCAAGCAGCCACGCTGCCCCCACTTCACAGACAGGGACAAGGACACTCGGGTAATGTGGACACTGGGCTCGGCTAGTTCTCCTACTCATCCCACCACGCATGGCCTCTCGGAACCCGGGCTTTCCTACTAGCTCTTTTCGTTTGCTCTCTTCCGGGCTATGGAAAGCAGGGAGGCAAGCCTCGCCAATTCGGGAACACAAATATTTGCCAGTCAAGAAAACATTCCGCTATCAGTCAAAACCCAGACGAGCTGGCACACGTGGTCTACAGATGCTGGAGGGAGCTTCTATTTTAGGGGACACCAGGCTTGCAGCGTCTCCCCCTCCCCAGACAACCCAGGCTCCTTCTCATTCCTACCTCGTCTGCTGATGAGGAGACGGACGTTCAAAGTCATCACTGGCCCTCCGTCACACCGCATCCAGACGGACCTTTTCTTTCTTTTCCTTTTCTGTTTTCTTCACGTGATCTCCACACTCAATGAAGGGCTTGAACTCAGGATCCCAAGACCAAGAGCGGTTCCCTCCGGGGCGCCCCGCTGGCTCAGTTGGTAGAACATGTGACTCCTGATCTGGGGGCCATGAGTTAGAGACCCATGTTGGGTGGAGAGAGGACTTAAAACAGCCACTGGCTCCACGCACGGGGCTGGTGAGGCTTTATATTAGTCTTCATAAATGGCACACAATGAAGGTGATTTCCAGTTCAGATAAATAGCAGACATTGCCTTTCTAGGCCATGTGAGTGGGCAGAACTTAATTATGGCTTTATTTCATCTCTCCAACAGCCTTACAGGGGGGCAGGTTTCTGGGGGCTTAGGGAGGATGCATGGGGTGATCTGGGGTGGGCCAGCTTTCCTGTGGGGATTCAGAACCCTGGAATCCTCCATCTCCTGTGTTTTTTTCACAGGGCAGAATGATGAAGTGTTCAAATTCAGCCACTGCTTGTCCCTAACACGGAGCGGCTTCACGCCCAGGAAGCCTTCTGGCCCTGGTTAAAATTGTTTTCTGTCCTCGCCCCAGACCCCTGACTTAGAATTCTCCAGAAGTGTGCACGTTTCTTTCTTCTCTTTTTTAAAATTTTTATTTATTTGAGAGAGAGAGAGAGAGAGAGAGAGCACAAGCGGGTGGCGGGGCAGAGGGAGAAGTAGGCTCCATGCTGAGCAGGGGGCCCCATGATGTGGGAGTCGATCCCAGGACCCTGAGACAATGACCTGACTCAAAGGTAGAGGCTTAACCCCCTGAGCCACCCGGCGGTACGCATGTCAACGCCCACAGCCCGCGGGGGGCTCCGACCCAGGAGAGGGCGTGAGCCCCCCCCGAGTGGCGGGGCAGACAGAGCGGCGCATCAGCTGGCGCGGCAGCTCTGAGAACCTGCCCCTTCCTGAGCCAGCTGCGGGGCGGGCCAAACCACACACTCGGGGTTTGAATCGGAAGGGGTGCGTGGGGCGGGGTGTCTCTTTACAGACTCCAGCCAGGTGTACGGAGGCGAAGATGGCGAGGTTAAGGCAAGCAAGGCCTCCGCGGCCCTGACCTAAGCATAAATGCATTGACTCGTGGCCCGGTGCAGGACCCAGTGCCCACGTGCCCCGGACTGCACCCCCACCCTGACTCCGTGTAGGCGCCCGGGACTGGCGAAGGGACACGCAAGGGTGGAGACAGCGCCAGCCGGGCGGACAGCGCCAGGTGCACGGGGCGGTGCCCCGCCCACGAGAGGACCGCGGCGGGGGCGGGGCCGGGCCGCGGGAGGGGCGGGGCCCGGGCCTGTCGAGAGGAGGACCGAGAGCGGACGCTATGGGGCGTGGTCTGCTCGGCCTCGTTGACGTTTGCCAATCCGTGCGCTTGAAGAGGCCATGGTCCCCGCCTCCCGCCGCCACGGGGAGAGCGTCGCGTTGCTATTGGCTGGCCTGTGCGTCGGCCTGTTGCTATAGGCTTCTTCCGCCGGGCGGGGGCGGGCCGGCACGTTGGCGGGAAAGTTGCGGCGGCGGTGCCGACCCTCACGCCGCGGCTAGTGAGGGGCCGCCGGCGGCGACGGGTCCCGGGCGGGTCGCTGTGGCCGGCATGGACGCGGCGGAGGTGGAGTTTCTGGCCGAGAAGGAGCTGGTCACCGTAATCCCCAACTTCAGCCTAGACAAGATCTACCTCATCGGGGTGAGGGCAGGGGCCGGCCATTTGCCTCTCGCGGCCGGGCGCGGGGAGGCGGTCGTGGGGGGCGGGGACGTCCGCGGACCCCCGCCCGGCCTCTGACCCGCCGTGGGGTCGGGGTCGGGGGAGTCCCTGACGGGGGAGGCAGAGCGGTCGCTGGAGGGCTGGGGGGCGACCCCGAGTGGGGGGGTACGGGGAGGTCAGGGCGGTCGCGGAGCACGGGGTGGGGGCTGGGTGAGAACCGGGGGTGGAGACGCCGAGGGGGCGGGGGGCGGACGCGGGGAGGACCAGGTGGCCGGCGTCTCGGCGCTTCTCGGGGCGGGAAACAGGGCTCAGGTGGGCCGGCCAGGTGTGCGGTGAGGCCGGCTCGGGTCGGGACCGCGGGCTCTGGGCGGCCTCCCTGGGCCTGCGCCCGCGGCCGGACTTTGTTTTCCCTCGGGTCCAGCTCCCGCAGCGCCTGCCCCCGGTGGGACGGCCGCGGGGCCCGCAGGGCGTCTGGTCGCGTGTGGTCTCACCCGGACTGGGTTTCCCTTCCGCAGGGGGACCTGGGGCCTTTCCAGCCGGGCTTACCGGCGCGAGTGCCGCTGTGGCTGGCCATCAACCTGAAGCAGAGGCAGAAGTGTCGGCTGCTGCCGCCCGAGTGGATGGACGTGGGTGAGGACCGGGCTGGGCGGGCGCGTGACAGTCTCCCGGGGCGCGAGCCCGGCCTTTGGCGCTCCGCGTCACCCGCTGGTCCGCCGAAGGTCGGGGCGGCTGGAGCGTGACCTTAGTCTGCGCGCCACTGTGACTACGTCGTGTCGGTTTGAGGCGTCCGTACCAAATGTCGCTCAGATTTTGGTTTTAAGATATTCCAGCTTGCTTTAAAATCAAGAATATTGGGGCGCCTAGGTGGCTCGGTTGGTTAAGCGTCTGCCGTCCGGGGTCATGGTCCAGGGCCTGGGATGAGCCCCACGTTGGGCTCCCTGCTCTGCGCAGAGCCTGCCTCTCCTCCCTGCTCTTGCGCGCGCGCTCTCTCTCAAATAAAAATCTTTTTTTTTTTTTAAGATTTTAGTTGAAAGTGAGCAAGCAAGAGAGCACAAGCTGGAGGAGGGGCAGAGGGACAGGGAGCCCGTTCGGGGCTCGATCCCAGGACCCTGGGATCATGACCTGAGCCAAAGGCAGCCGCCTAACCCGCTGAGCCACCCAAGTGTCCCAAATAAAAATCTTTTGAAAAAAAATTAAAAAAATAAAATTAAGTGCATGTGGGGCACCTGGGTAGCCTAGTGGGTTAAGCATCTGCCTTTGGCTCAGATCATGACCCCAGGGTCCTGGGTTTGAGCCCACATGGGGGGGGTGTCCTTTCTCAGTAGGGAGCCTGCTTCTTCCTCTCCCTCTGCCTCCTGGTCATGCTTTCTCTCTCTCAGTCAAATAAATAAATAACATCTTAAAAATTAAAATAAAAATAAAATTAAAAATAGTGTAGGACTTTGAAGAAGCATTTTTTTTAACATTTAAAAATAATTATATCGGGGTGTCTGTCTGCCTCAGGACAGCACACAACCTTGGACCTTAGGGTCGTGAATGACCTCAGGGTTTTAAGTTTGAGCCCCATGTATAGCATGTTAAGGAGCAGAGCCTTCACAGTACGCAGAACACATGAAAGCAAGGCGTCATCCAAACCAGGGAGTACTAGTCAGCCGCGTGAAGAAATGACGTCCTGCCCGGGCTGCAGGTCAATGAACTTAGGACACGTGCTAAGTGAAAGAAAAGGCATGAAGATCACCTACGGCCCTGAGTGTACTAAGAACTATTGAACTGTACTTTTTTTTTTTTTTTTAAGATTTATTTATTTTAGAGGGAGCAAAAGCTGGGGGGACAGGGAATCTAAAGCAGACTCAGCAATGAGCTCGGAACCTGATGCAGGGCTCTGTCCCATGACTTTGAGATCATGACCTGAGCCGAAACCAAGAGTTGGATGCTTAATGGACCGTGCCTCCGAGGCACCCCTGAATTGTACATTTTATTTCTTTTATTTTTTAAAATATTTTATTTATTTGACAGAGAGAGACACAGCGAGAAGGAACACAAGCAAGGGGAGTGGGAGAGGGAGAAGCAGGCTTCTGGCCGAGCAGGGAGCCTGATGTGGGGATAGATCCCATGACCCGAGCCGAAGGTGGATGCTTAACGACTGAGCCCCCCAGGTGCCCCTGAATTGTACATTTTAAATGAGTGAATGGTATGGTGCATTAATTGGGCATCAGTAATAAAATGATGGCACCTGGGTAGCTCAGTTGGTTAAGTGTCTGTTTTTGGCTTAGGTCATGATCTCAGGGTCCTGGGATCAAACCCTAAGGTGGACTCAGTGCTGACCGGCAAGTCTGCTTCTCCCTCTAACTCTGCCTCTCCCCACCACTCCTGTGCACAAGGACTCTCTTAGATCTTTAAAATAGAAAATAATGTATCAGCAGTGCAGACAGACTTTATCCTGAGCCTTCCCAATCTTCCTATCTCGGAGACGAAAGTGGCTTATTATAGCAAAGGAACATTGATTTTACTAGGAATGGGGAGGGGAATGTAGCATTTGAAAAGCCTCTGAGTGATTTTGATGATCCACTCCCAACTGGGAATCTGCTGGGGGTACCTCTTCCCTGGAAGCAATGTCATTTTGGGACCCCTGGGTGGCTGAGTCCGTTAAGCGTCTGCCTTTGCCCAGGTCATCACCTCAGGGTCCTGTGATCGAGTCCTGTATCGGGCTCCCTGCTCAGCGAGCAGCGTGCTTCTCCCTCTGCCTGCAGATCCCTCTACCTGTGCTTTCTCTCTTTTTATCTCTCTCTCTTGCTCTCTATTAAATAAATGAAATCTCTAAGAAAAAAAAAAAAAGCAGGGACACTATGAACTAGGCCTTGAAATACAGTTTCAGAAGGACCGCTTGGGCATTTTCCCCTTCTGGTCCGAAAAGTGGTGGGCGGTGGCCCTGGCACGTCTGCAGCAAAGGGAAGCTCCCAGTCCTTTCGCTGAGGGGCTCTGGCAGGGAGCCCCGCCAGGTCTGGCTGTTAGCGCGACATCTCCTTCTGGCGGTTTGGCCCGTCCACGCTGAAGGTGATGGGGGCAAGAGCCTGTCTCCTCGCAGGTCAGTCAGAAAAGTGGGGAGAGCGAGCCCGAGCTTTCTCACGGCCAGGGTCACGCTGCGTGGGCAGTGCTGAAGCTTCACTGGCTGGTCTGTAGAGCGTGGCCGAGAGCCGGCCGCCCTCTGCTGTGCCAGGGGGCTCTGCCTGCTTTGGTCCTGTGAATGGAGTCACCTAGTAAGTCTGTTTTTGTCTCTTGACTTCTCTGACTCTGGTTTTTTGTTTGTTTGTTTTAAGATTTATTTATTTATTTGACAGAGATCACAAGCAGGCAGAGAGGCAGGTAGAGAGAGGGAGGAAGCAGGTTCCCGCTGAGCAGAGAGCCCGATGTGGGGCTCGATCCCAGGACCCTGGGATCATGACCTGAGCTGAGGGCAGAGGCTTAACCCACTGAGCCCCCCAGGTGCCCTGTTTTTAAGGATCTTACTTATTAGACAGCACAAGCAGGGGGAGCGACAGGGAGAGGGAGAGCAGACCCCACTGAGCAAGGGAGCCCAACTTGGGGCTCCATCCCAGGACCCTGGGGTCATGACTGGAGCTGAAGGCAGACACTTAACCAGCTGAACCACTCAGGCGTCCCTGGTTTGTTTTTGTATTTGTTTTTTTTTTTTTGTTAAGATTTGTGGATTTGGGGGAGTGCACCCTTGTGAGTGGGGGAAGGGCAGATGGAGAGGATCTCTAAGCAGACTCCCCACTGAGCGCGGAGCCCCCCACCCCATGACCCAGAGAACATGACCTGAGCTGAAATCACGGATCGGGTGCTCAACACTGAGCCCCCCAGAAGCAGCGCTGGCACTGGCTTTGGGATCATTCCTGTGGCTACAGGTAGCGCTACACAGTCTTCTGCCGCCCAGCGCCGTGTCACTCGCGGCGCCCTTCCCAGCCGAGTCACCCGTTCTTTGGCCTCCGGCTGCTTGACGGCTTCCCATTTCTGGCTGTGGCTAGTGAGGCTGTTGGGAACATTCCCGTCTAGGTCGGCTTGTGGATACTTGTTACTTCTAAAATATTTTATTTATTTATTGACATAGAGAGAGAAGCAAGAGCGAGCACAGGCAGACAGAGTGGCAGGTAGAGGCAGAGGGAGAAGCAGGCTCCCTGCCAAGCAAGGAGCCCGATGTGGGACTCGATCCCAGGACGCTGGGATCATAACCTGAGCCGAAGGCAGCCGCTTAACCAACTGAGCCACCCAGGCGTCCCGATACTTGTTACTTCTCTTGGGTAAATACGCCGGGTCATAGGGCAGACCGTGCTTGGCTGTGTAAGGACTGCCTCCCGGCCCTCCAGAGTGGATGAGCTATTCTGATCCCGCTGGAGACGTGGGAGAGCTCCCAGTTGCACATCTGGCCTGTGCGGGTGACATCAGTCTGTTGGATTCATCGCAGGCGCTGTTTCATGCTCTGACTTAGATGCTAGGAAGGAACCTGCCAACTGTGTGGAGAAGGTGTGTGTGGGGAGAGGGCAGCGGGGAGTTTCCAGGCCGCGAGTAGTGTGACCGGCTGCTGGAGGATGGCTCCCATGATTGGAGTCTCAGTGTGTTATTGTTGGTTTGTTTGTTTTAAAGATTTTGTTTATTTGGCAGAGATTACAAGTAGGCAGAGAGGCAGGGAGAGAGAGAGAGAGGAGGAAGCATGCTCCCGGCTGAGCAGAGAGCCTGATGTGGGGCTCGATCCCAGGACCCTGAGATCATGACCCGAGCCGAAGACAGAGGCTTAACCTGCTGAGCCACCCAGGCGCCCCATCTCGGTGTGTTTTGAAGGGAGAATCCGCAGGATTTGCTGAAGGACAGACCATGGGATCTGAGAGGAGACTGAAGAGTGACAGGCGGGGTCGCTGGCCTGAACTGTGGAAAGACACAGAGTTGCTGCCTCCTGGGCCGGGGAGGCTGTAGGAGCATGAGGGCTGGGGGAGGGACCAGAAGCTGGGGTTTGGCCCTGTCACCCCGGAGGTGCCTAGCAGATACCCGGGTGGAAGGGGCGTGGGCCGGAGTGTTTGGTCAGGAAGTCGGTGAAGGGGCTTACTTGGGGACATGCAAGTGTGAAGTCCTCACGAGTGCGCTGATGGTATTGAAATGAAGCGGGAGGACATCGCGTGGGGTGTGGGTTTAGGCGGTAAAGCGGGCGGGGTCTGAGCTCTGTACCACAGTGCTGAGCACAGTCAGGACGGCCCAGAGGTATCCAGGTGAGAACTCAGGGTGGCGTTCCGGAAATCAAGTGATAGATATCCTCCAAGGAGTCATCTTTTTGAGGTCAAGGACGAATGGTTATGGTCGAGGAGAGATGGAACCACTGGGCGTGGCTGAGCAGAGGTTGTGGGCCCTGGCGTTGACTGGCGTGGGTCAGGGGGATGGACAGACACCCACTCGAGTGGTCGAAGAAAGGAAGTTAACTTTTGAAAAAATGGTTTGGGGGCATCTGGGTGGCTCCCATCGTTGAGCATCTGCCTTTGGCTCGGGTCATGATCCTGGGGTCCTGGGATCGAGCCCTGCATTGAGCTCCCTGTTCAGCGGGAGGCCTGCTTCTGCCTCTCCCACTTCCCCTGCTTGTGTTCCCTCTCTCGCTGGGTCTCTGTCAAATATATAAATAAAATCTTTAAAAAATGATGATTTGGTAGCTGGCATTGGGAGGTTTTTTTTTTTAAGATTTTATTTTTTAGGGAAACCTGGGTGGCTCAGTTGGTTGAGCGACTACCTGCGGCTTGGGTCATGGTCCTGGAGTCCTGGAATCGAGCCCCATATCAGGCTCCCTGTTGGCGGGCAGTCTGCTTCTCCCTCTGACCCTCCCCCTTCTCAGACTCTCTCTCTCTCTCTCTCTCTCTCTCTCGTTCTTTCTCTCTCAAAAAAATCTTTAAAATTTTTATTTTTTAAATCTAAAAAATTTTTTATCTAAACTCAGTTAATTAACATAGTGTAGTAGTAGCTTCCGAGGTAGAGGTCGGTGTTCATCAGGCGCGTGGAACACCCAGTGCTCATCTATCCTGTGGCCTCCTCACTGCCCATCACCCCGTCCCCACACCCACCTCCTCTCCAGCAGCCCGCAGTTTGTTTCCTGTAGCTAAGAGTCTTAAGGTTTGTCTCACCCTCTGATTTCGTCTTACTTTACTTTCCCTTCCCTATGATCCTCTGTTTTGTTTCTTAAATTCCACATATGAGTAAAATCATATGACCTTTGTCTTTCTCTGACATGTTTTACTTAGTAAGGTTTTATTTATTTATTTATATTTATTTAAGCAGTTTTTTTAAAAGATTTTATTCACTCATTTGTCAGGACACAAGTAGGGGGAGCAGCAGGCTCCCCACTGAGCAAGGCCGCCCCCACCATGTGGGACTTGATACCAGGACCCTGGGATGATGACTTGAGGTGAAGGCAGATGCTTAACCGACTGAGCCACCCAAGTGTCCCTTATTTATTTATTTTAATGATTTTATTTATTGAGGGGCACCTGAGTGGCTCCGTTGTTGAGCATCTGCCTTCAGCTCAGGTCATGATCCTGGGGTCCTGGGATCCAGCCCCACATCAGGCTCCTGCTCAGTGGGAAGCCTGCTTCTCCCTCTCCCACTTTCCCTGCTTGTGTTCCCTCTCTCGTGGTCTCTCTCTGTCCAATAAATGAATAAAATCTTTAAAAAAATATGTGTTTATTGAGAAGGAGACAGCAGAGTGAGCGTGAGCTGGTGGGGAGGGGCAGTGGGAGAGGGAGAAGCAGGCTGCCCACTGAGCAGAGAGCCCGATGCGGGGCTGGATCCCAGGACCCTGGGATCATGACCTGAGCCAAAGGCAGGTGCTTAGCCAACTGATTCACCCAGGCACCCATATTTATTTATTTTTTATTTTTTTAAAGATTTTATTTATTTGAGAGACCGAGTGAGCAAGGGAGAGAGCACATGAACCAGGGGCAGAGGGAGAGAAGACGACTCGCTGCTTATTGGGGATCCTGACTCGGGGCTGGATTCTAGGCCCCTGAGATCATGACCTGAGCTGAAATCAAGAGTCAGGCGCTCAACCGACTGAGCCAGGTGCCCCTAGGATTTTCTTCAGGTGGAAGACGTTGCAGGGAGCTGATGGGACGGTTAAGTACTGAGGCACAACCAGCTCGAGTGAGAGACAGCTGCTGGGGTGGTGTTCTTTGCTGGTCGGAGAGGAGTTCCAGAACACACCTGGAGGGGTGTCCATTGCGCACGGGGACAAGTGTGGAGGTGCGGTGTTCTGGCAGCTGGCAGGGGCGTGCAGGCTCTCAGAAGGGCATCGGGTAAGAGCGGGAGCGTGAATGGAGCAGGGCAGTAGGTTGGGTTTGGCATGGCACCAAGGGCCCCTGAGGAGGGGGCCCAGCGCTGAAAGCCTGCTCCCCCCACCCCCAGCACGGTTGTGTGTGTGTCCCTCAGCTTCGGTGGCCAGTCCAGATCCAGGACTTTCTCAGACCCATGAGACAAGGAGAGAGAGAGAGGGGACCTGCTGCTGGATGGAATTGGGACTCCACTGCAGGGTTCTAGATGCTGGGCTCAGGCCCTCTGTGATCCGTGTCTCACCCACAGGCTAGAGGGGCTGCGGTTTATGTCCTCTTGCTTCCCTCTGAACAAGGGTTCAGGGGTGTATAAGTAAATTTCTTCAGTCACTGGTTACTTTCATCACCTTTTGTATCAAAGAGAGAATGCTGTCTCTTTCCCCTAGAAAAGAACTTCTGACTCCGACACAGTTTCTCCAGTAATATATCCTGCAGGCCAGAGCAGCAACACAACTAGAATTTTTTTTTTTAAGATTTTATTTATTTATTTGACAGAGATCACAAGTAGGCAGAGAGGCAGGCAGAGAGAGAGAGAGGAGGAAGCAGGCTCCCTGCGGAGCAGAGAGCCCGATGCAGGGCTCGATCCCAGGACCCTGAGATCATGACCTGAGCTGAAGGCAGAGGCTTAACCCACTGAGCCACCCAGGCACACCAATGCCAACAAGAAATTACCAACTTCTATAAGCAAAACTTTTTTTTTTTTTAAGATTTTATTTATTTATTGGACAGAGAGAGCACAAGCAGGCAGAGCGGCAGGCAGAGAGGGAGAACCAGGCCCCCCGCTGAGCAGGGAGCCCGATGCAGGACCCTGAGATCATGACCCAAGCCGAAGGCAGACGTCTCACCAACTGAGCCACCCAGGTGCCCCCCCAATAAGAGAAACTTTTGAGGAAATCGGCCCTGAATCATCTAGTGATATGTTATTCCAAAAAAGTGTTTTCTCTTGGGGTGCCTGCATGGCTCAGTGGGTTAAGCCTCTGCTTTCAGCTCAGGTCATGATCTCAGGGTCCTGGGATCGAGTCCCGAATCGGGCTCTGCTCAGCGGGGAACCTGCTTCCTCCTCTATCTCTGCCTGCCTCTCTGCCTGCTTGTGATCTCTGTCAAATAAATAAATAAAATTTTAAAAAAGAAAAGAGTTAAAAAAAGTGTTTTCTCTTTGATTAGTTAGTTGATCCAATAGGTAATAGAGACACTTGGTAAATCTGGAAAGCTTCAACAAATATTTGGGTGTGGTGATAGTAAAATGTATACATTTCTCAATTTCAGAGAAGTTGGAGAAGATCAGGGATCATGAACGACAGGAAGAAACCTTCACCCCCATGCCCAGCCCTTACTACATGGAACTTACCAAACTCCTGCTGAATCAGTAAGTGCATCCCCTCCGCAGAGCCACGTGGGAGGTAGAGCTCCTGACACTCATCCCTGACCCTGTCTCTCCTTCCTGTTCCATGTTCAACTCCAAGGTGAGGGCTGTCCCGGCCCCCAGCTCCTGGGTCGGTAACCCGGGAGGCGCTCGTGCGCTCGCACCCTTTTGCCTGGGCTCTCCCATCTGTCCTTCCCTTCCCAGCCCTCCTGCTCCTAGGGAATTCCTCGCCGCTCTATTGCTTGACCCTGGACAGTGGTGAGTCTCCGTTATCCTCTCTAACCTTCTGCTTAACCGCAGCTCTGTTTCACTGGCGAGGCTTTACCCTCTGGTCTTCGCTATGCGCATGTGAGTTCTGGCATGTGTTTCACAGGAAAGGCCAGAGGCTCACACTTGCTCCGAGCCCTGGCCGTGATGAAAGCCCATGGTGGCAGCACGTGTGGGGCAGCAGTGTCCTGCTTCCCCGTGTTCAGTTCGGGCTCCCCACTGGCTTTGATTCCTCCTCCACGTTGCAGCCAGAGTGGACTTTTAAAGATGGGGCTGCCACGTGGCTCATCTGTTCCTTGGAGCCTGTGCAGGGTCATGGCCGTGGTCCTCATGGCGGCATGCGGGGCTCTGCCTAGCCGGACTCCCTCTGCCTTTCTCTGTGGCTCCGACGGGTTTTCCCCCTGCCGCTCTGGGTTCCAGGGCCACATCGGCCTCTTCCCCTTCCACATACCAGGGTCCTCCAGGCTTTCATACACTGTGTCCTCTGTCCAGTTTGTCCATCTGTTGTCTGTTCGTCCTTTGGCTCTGCCTGACTGGAGCTCTGTCACAGGTTAAGGGTGCCTGTCCTCCTGGGAGCTCTGTAGCCCCCGCGCCTTTTGTCACCAGTAATCTTCTAATCACTAGTCGGGCTGCCCGCACCACCCCCCCCAAGTTCTAAAGGGCGTGGACTGGCGCGCCTGGGTGGCTCAGTCGGTGAAGTGTCTGATTCTTGATTTTTGGCTCAGGTCATGGTCTCGGGCTTGTGCACTTGAGCCCTGTGTCAGCGTCCATGCTGGGCACGAAGCCTGCTTGAGCTTCTCTGTGTCCCCGCTGTTAGGTCATGTCGGGATGCAGCCCTAGTGCCTGACGGTGTCATTGAAGGGATCCCGGGCTTGGAGGAGGGAAGATTCACCACAGAAGAGGACACTGTGGGGAGAAGTGGGGACGCGTGAACGGGCACACATGTTTGGGCGAGCAGAGCGGTTGGGGTTGATGTAGGCCAGGTAGGGCGTCAGGGAGCTGAGGCTGTTGCTCTGCGGCTGCGTGTCCTGGGGACGGTGGCTGGCTGGGGCGTGTCGTTGGACGAAGCGGAGAGCCTTCTGTGGCGGCGGGACTTGGAAGGGAAGACGTGGCGGCAGAGGTGCGGGGCCTGTTCACCTTCAGTTTTGGGGGTTCAGGATCTTACGCGTGCAGTTCCTGTCGGAACTTCGGTTTTGTGATCCTTTGTAGCTCCTTTGGCCGAGGGACCCACGTTCACCTTTGTCCTGCGTGTCAGTTAACAAATCGACGGTCCTTCGTTCCTGAGCGTGCTGTTCAGAGTATCAGACGCAAATGTTTGGATCCTAAGTATAACCCGCTACGTAGCTCCTAAGTATAACCGCCATGTAGCTTGTAGCCCTGGACTCCCTGCTGCTCAGCACGAGCTGTTCTCACAGGGAGAGAGGCCGTTTCCGCTCTCCCAGCGTGCCCGGCGATGGGCCATGTTAGCTTCTGCTTTCATCTTGGGTTTTGTCTTTTCCTTCAAAGCTTAGTTGAACGGCTCAGTCCGCTGCGCGTCTGACTCTTGGTTTCAGCTCAGGTCTTGACCTCCGGGTTATGAGTTCAAGCCCCACACTGGGTTCCACGCTGGGTGTGAGCTTCCTTCAAAACAAAACAAAACACTAGAATGGCCTAGAAGGATCCAAAACGCAGCTCACCACAGGACGGCTGTCGCACTGACCCTCGTGGACTCCTGTTCAGACTTTTACCCAGAATTCACTGGGTGGTGGGACGCTCGGTTTATACTAATTTGCAGTTTAGCCTGTGGTTTCTGTAAGTGGACCTTTGTTTCCTCTGCGGAATGACGTGGTACTTCCTTCAGAGTGTGCTGGGAGCATAGAAGTGCCCTGAATGCGGAGCTCAGAGCCCGGCACGGAGCTGTTGTCTTTCCCCGTGGGGTGTAAGCCCTTGGGTCAATGACAGAGCAACGGCAATCGTGACCTCCTAGCCAGCCCTTGGAGCAGGTTCCTTCAAGATGGAGATTCTGCAGCACAGAACACTCGGTCACCCCGGGAGGAGGATGTCCGATTCCGTGCTTGTCCTCTGAAGTTGGCGTCGTGGCTGCCGTGAGCTGCTTAATGTGAGCGCAGACGGCGGTGTGCATCGTGGCAGAGTTGTTTTGGTTTTTTAGGATTTTATTCATTTGAGAGAGCGAGATAGCCACAGACCTAGCAAGAGAGCACAAGTGTGGGGGAGAGGGAGACGCCGACTCCCTGCTGAGCAGGGAGCCCCGTGCAGGCCTCGGTCCCGGGACTGCAGGGCTCAGTCACGCTCCCCGCTGAAGGCAGCCGTCCAACCGATAGAGACACGCAGGCGTCCCCGCGGCTGAGTTTCCTTGGCAGCAAGCTTAACTGCTGGAAATTTTTACATTTTAAAATTGAAAACAAAGGAAAACACATTTTGCTTGTGTTTCCAAAAGTCCAAAAGAGCGGAGGGCTCCTGGCTGGCTTGGCCAGAGGAGGCTGCGACCCCTGACCTCGGGGCTGCGAGTCTGGGCTCCACCTTCGCTGCGGGACCTGCTGACACCAGCATACTTCCCCCTGGTTGTCGCTTTACTTTACCAAGTGCCCCCCCATGTGATCTGTCGCCCTGCTCTTGCTTCTGTAGCGCTTCGGACAATATCCCCAAAGCAGATGAAATCCGGACCCTGGTGAAGGACGTGTGGGACACTCGCATGGCCAAGTTGCGGGTGTCCGCCGACAGCTTCGTGAGGCAGCAGGAGGCACATGCCAAGGTAGGCGCGCGCGGGGCAGGGGCTCGGGCCTCCTGTGGCAGCTGGCCCTCCCCATGTGCGTGCGAAGCCTGGGGCCACCGGTGGGAGCCAGCGAGTGGTCCCCGCGCCCCGTCTGCTCGGACGGCTGCCATCAGGGATTCCCAGCTGTGCCTGGCCTGCGTGACCAAACCCAAACCAAAACAGCCCCATTATTTATTGGCTACTTACTTTTATTCCGTAGATCGTACATTTTGTCAAATCAGACCCTCAGTCGGGTTGGTCTTCTCTTGTGTTTCAGCTGGACAACCTGACCTTGATGGAGATCAACACGAGCGGGGCTTTCCTCACACGAGCGCTCGATCACATGTACAAACTCCGCACGAACCTGCAGCCTGCTCAGGGCGCGCCGTCCCAGGACTTCTAGAGAAGGGCCCGGCCCGTGGCGAAGGCTGGGCGCTTGCGCCTGTGCGCCTGCCGGCCGGAGGCTTCCAGGCGCCATGTGAGCGCGAGACCCGACAGAGGTACTGTGAGCTTCGGAGTTCTAGAACCCTTTCTGAATGTACAAAAAGCTGTCATGAAACAAGGAGTGGTTCATAACGTTGCTGGAAAGCAACAGGTTTGTGCTTGGTCCTTGAGACAGTCTCGTCCCAGCTCTGTCTGTGGGAGCCGCGTTTGTTTATGGGGAAGGAACGCAGCTTTGGCAAAATGAGTTACTTTCCCGGCAGAGCCTGCGGTCTCCTGTGAGGTGTCATCCTGTGGGGGAAGTCAGTGACCTCGAGGGGTGTTTTCTGAGAGAGAGAGACAGTGGGAGTGGCGAGGTGGCTCGGGGCTTTTTCCCCTTTTCTGATCCTGATCCCTTGGGCTAAATTCGGACTCTCCCGGAGTTCATTCACGCACAGAAGGACGGCAGATGAGTGGCAGGACGTTGACCGGGTTTGCCATCAGACCCCCCCAAAGACGGACCCCCCAGACCTTGTGTGGGGTTTTCTCCCCTGCACTACCGCCGAGGGAAGGGAGCGAGTCCCGTGGCTGGAATGGTCTGACTGACCACATGGGGAAGTGTGGCAGGAAGGGGTGCCCTTTAGACTGACACTGGGGGCACCTCTCGTCTCTGGGCTGCTGTGGGTCAGGGTGTAGTGGTTTCTGTCAGGAGGAAAGGCGGGAACCCCCAGCTGCTTCACGCACAGCCGCCAGCACGGGCAGCACCGTAACTGGCCAGACGGGGAAGTTCATGACCAACTGGCCTCCTTCAGTGGAAACAGATGGTCACCGATGTTCCTCACCCCGGGAAGGCGACGCTGCCTTCTCTGAGAGAAATGCCGGGGAAACTAGCCGCAACGGGCAAGTCACCACACCAGCTGTCACCTTTGTATTTGGATTCAGAACCCATTTGCTGGTGGCAGGACGACTGGCAGGACTCAGGGCTCCTTGGGTTATGCAAAGGGAAAACAGACCCAAACACTGACATGCGAACAGCCTCTGAGGAGAAAGACCCTAGGAGAGCAGCAGAAGGAACCCCAGAGAATGAAGGAGTCATGGGGACTGCAGAAGCCTAGGCTGGCGCCGGCGAACAGCTCGGGACCGGGAGTCGGGGACGAAGATTCCGCAGGGACCCGACCTGTGCGACTGTAGAGCTCTCCCGTTCATAACACCTAGAGAAAGGCCGGAGACCAGCAGACTGCACGGTCCGGGCTGTGTGAGGCTGGAGTCCGGCTGCTGGGAGGGGACATCGGGCCCGTAGCGTGGCTCTTGAGGGACGGACGGGGGAGACCTGGCTGGAGGCAGCAGCGTCTCAACGGAGGGTCCGTTCCCAGGAGAAGCACTTCTCAGTCGTAGTGGTTGGAATTGCCCTGGAAGTGACCTGACCTTGACAGTGGGAACGACTGTCTAGAGTCCTAGAGGGACAGAAGCGCTGGCGGCCCACGGGTCTGACAGTGGCACCGAGCACGTCCCCTCTCCGCAGTGAGCGCGCGGTCACCTGAGCCTCGGGGCAGCTTCCGGCTTTTGCCCTTCGGTGTTCAAAGCCCAGCTCCCCCGCCGCGCTCCGCAGGCGCGTTTTCTCGGTCCCAGGCGGCCAGGCCGCCGTCCCTCCGGAAACGGCTGGGGTCGTTATTTGAACACCGAGGGGCCAGACACGAGCACCTGGTCCCTGTCATGTAAGGGGACGGTTCTAGAGGTTCGCTTTTGGATGGTGGGACTTGCCTTTCCACCTGGGGACTCTGCCAGAATGAAACCACATGGCACGGAGGAGGTCCGGGGACCCTCGAGCTCCCCCACCTCAAACCCTTGTGCTCCTGAAACCCGGTGAAGCCGGCGGACCTCGTGTCTGACAGGTGAGGCTCCGCGGCGGAGCTCTTCTCCCCTGCCCGCCACTGTGGCCGTGTCAGAACAAAGATTTTCCTCTTAACGTGATTTAGGAAGATTTTATTTTTTTGGATGTTGTCAGAAATTACAGGAATATATTCATAAATATCTAATTACTACATTCAACAAATAATATTACAATACAGTTAATTCAAACAAGTACACTTAGAACAGGTTTAATTTCACAGCATCTAAACCGCCCCCAGGGTGACCGAGGCTTTCCTCTTCCCTCCCGTGTGCTGGTTCTGCTGCTGTCCCTCAAGCACAGGGCACACACCAAGTGACAACCAGTTAGCGCGGTCTTCCTTGGGTCAAGGCAGAGATCAGAGTCTCGCTCAAGCGCTGGGTCAGACAGCTGGGACAGACAGACCACGGCGGGTGGGGAGGAAGCCAGAGCTGGTTTCCTCGGGGAGCGCGGGGATGGCTGCTAAGCGGCTAATGCGCACCTAAGGGGACAGGATGGGCTTGTGCTGACCCTCCATCTTGTGGGAGATCCTTGGAATTTCCTACTTAAAACCGCTCGGAGGGTCTGGGGTGGACGTCGGGTTTTTGAGATTTGGCAGTGCCACGGAGCTACTTGAGGCGAACACCGTCCCTCACACGAACTTGAGGTCTGTCGTAGTTCTCGGCCGCTGCCCGTGTGCGCGCCGTTTCCTATTCCTGGAACTTCCTCACGGACGGTCGCTGTTGGACTCTCAACGCCAAGTAGGTGCTGAGCCTGTGCTTTCTGCAGGCGAGAACGGGCAGGTCCCTTCTCGCCACTTGTCTGGGACAGTGGACCGGGACCCTGTTTTAGGTCCATTTGGCTCTAATTATGCGAAACAGAACATTTCCAAGGGAGGTTCTGTAGCGCCGAGTGTGGGGGGCTCTGGTCTGCTTCTAGTGACCTGACTGCGCGTGGAGCCCCACACCGGGGCTTCGCGGGGTGCCCTTCGGGAGAGACAGCAGGGGTGGCAGGCGGGCGGGGCCGCGAGGCAGGAGCTCACAGAGCATGGACGGGCGGCACGGCCACTCTGGAGTGAGCATGCTGTGCCGCTCCGCCTCGTCTCCTAAGCCCTGTGTGAATGGGCCTCACAGAAAGCTCCAGAGAGTGTGCGTGTCAGATTGCACACCTGAACCGCAGAGGCTCGGGTGCCGCTGTGCGGTCCGCGTCGTCGGAGAATGACCACGCGGACACTGTGGCTGGGCGCCAGGTCTTAGTGGGACACTCTAGTTTTCTAAAGATGCTTCCTTGCCTTTCTCTGCGTTTCTTCACGCTACCTGACGGGTTATATTCTGATTGTCTTATTACAGATCAAGAGCGGGAGGCAGAGGGACGGAAGCAGGAGGGCAGGGGCAAGGTGGCGGTTTCCGTCGGAAGGGACAGGGGCAGTGCTGGCTCAGGGACACGGCGTGTGCCCGCGCGCACAGACCTCCCAGGTGCTTCCTCCCTTTACCCCAGGACCTCGCCCAGTGCGGAGAACCTCCGCGTCCCCTGGCTGGTGAAGGGCTCGGCTGTGCTCCCTGTTCGCTCTGGCCATTGCCACGCTGATGAGCAGGGCTTCCAGGCCTTTCCTGGGCCGGTTGGGGACAGAGTGAGGCGCTGAGATCGGACTCTCCAGTGGCGGACTGGCAGTAGCGAGCCGCCTCGAGACTCAGTAATTGCTTCCCCTGCCTGACGGCTGCAGCGCTCCCTGTGCACGCCTGTCCCCACCTGTGCAACTGCTGCTCTCCCTGTCCTTGCCGGGGAGGAGGCCCCCAGAACAGGCCTTCGTTCTCTCCAAGTCATTTTTGTGGCGAGGAAGGCGCTTGTTTGCTGCTGATACTGGCGGCACTCTCGTCTGAGTTTGCTAATAACTGGAAGGTTCTTGGCAGACGCACAAAGCAAACGGTGTGGGGACAGATAGAGCAACACAGTGCCATCTGCCAGCAAGCTGTTCTGCACAGCTGAGGGCTGGGGCTGGGGGCGCGGCTGATGATCGCGGCGCAGAGCCTTCCTGAAGGTCGGCCAGTCCGTCCCCTGACCCAGGGTGAAGGGGACAGCGGCCATGAGGATTCTTGCCTCCACCCCCATCCCCGATAGACCGGCTGCTGGCTGCGCTGGCCTCTGGCTTGGGCTGGATTCCCTGCCGGAGCGACTAGACACTGCCTGAGTGAGCCGAAGCGGGGTCGGGGGGACATGCTGCTCTGCACGGAGATGGCAGTGCCACTTATTAGCCGCTCCTGCGCTCCTGACAGAGCTCAGGAGGAGAAGTTCAGCTCAGATGTGGTTTACCCTACTTTTAGGCTTTTACAAAGCTTTGCATCTAGATAAAGCTTCTAAAGTTTCTACTTTGCACCTGTTCTCAGACTGCTGTAGGACACCCTACAGGGAGCTGTAGGCTCCCTCCCTGACCGGGCCTTTCAACAGAGCCGCATGTGCACGTGCACGCACACGCGCACATGCGTGGCCCTGCTCGCCCCCGCCTGGGGCTGAGCCCCTCTTCAGCAGCACTGGGCGCTTCTTGCTGCCCGGAGCCGGGGGTGGGGACAGAAGCACCTCACCTTCCCGTGTGACTCAAAATGAAGTGAGCGGTAGGCGCCAGTGGTAAGCTCTTTTACTTTTCTTCTTCTTTAATTTTTAAAAACACTTCAATATTTTAATGTCCTGACCAGCAGCAGTACAAACACTAAAAGCAAGTTTTTTTGCCCAGAAAAATGAAAGCAAAAAAACAAAACCCCCAAACAGGAAAACAAAAATCCCCCCGGACCACATATTAAAAATGGCAGGCTTTTTATAACAATAAAGTAATAAAAACATACAAAACTTTGTTTTTTAATATATATACACAGTACAAGGCTGAAGCACCTTTGACTTTTCTCTCAAAATTTGCGTCTGTATGAAAACACAGCCCCGTGCAGGAGCGGCCGGCGAGCGCGTGTGCACGGGGCTCTGCGCGTCCCCGTTCGCCAACGTGCGCTGTAGACGAGCTGTTCTGGGGAGAAGCCTGTGCGTGAGGCTTCGGGACTGCTGCTCTGTGCGCTCCCAGGACCCGCTGCTTCAGAAATTTCGCAGAAAATTAACAAACAGATAAGCCCTTTACCGGAGACGTGGCCCACCTTCTTCCCACTGAAGCGGGTCTCGGTCCTGGGGAGGAGCGAGGCCGAGCGGGGTCTCGGGGCGCGTGGGCCGGCCACACCAGGGACGGACGCGCTCCATCTCACCCACTCGGGCGCCCGGGGCTTAGTGTTGGTACGGGAGCCTTCGCTTTCAGATCCAGAAAGAATGCTGGGGGAAGGGTGAAACCACCTCTAGGAGAAAGAACTAGGGGCGTCCTACGTCGGTGGCTTGCTGGCGGACAAAGGTGACTCAGCTGCATCGAAGTCAAGGCGAGTCCGTTCTTCTGGAGCCTGGGACCCTTTGCTTCATGCATGGCACATTCTCGTGTTTGTTTTTTAAGCTTCAAACCTCCCAGTGAAAAATATTAAATATTCAAGGTAATAAAATAGATAATATTTCTATACTATAGGTTCGGCCTAGTGTAAGGGAAACCGTCACCTAGGATATCCCTTAAAGTAGCCTCTAGGCCAGTGCATGGCAGGCAACGCAAGGCACTTCCTCAAGTGGTCCAGTTCGGCCTGGAGCCGCTCCCTCTCCGACACGACCTTCTGCTTCTGGCTCCTCAGCTCCTGCACAGGGAGATTCGGGTCAGACGTTCCCTCCGCAGCAGGGGTGGGGGTGGGGCAGGCGTGTTCTGGGGGCCGTGAGGGAAGGCACACCTTCCGGGCTCCAGAAACACCCCCCCCCCCCCCGGCCCACCGGGCTGCGGCCACGGCTCTGGCCCAGGTCTCCGGTGTAAGCTCCGCCCAAAGCCTTGGCTCCTCACAAGGCCCCGCTCGCTCACACCCCTGCGAGTTGACACGATGGGACTTTTGCTGCTCTGCAGCGGCCCAGATCGGCAGGCCAGGACGGCAGGGAGCGGCTCGTGCTAGTGCCACGGGCATGGACAGGGCAACAGGGCCGGCTTCGCTCCGGTACCCTCTGCTCCCGTCCTCAGCAAGCGCCGCAGGGGAGACGCACACGGGTCCGAGCTGCCCCGGGGGGTGTGCACACCGCCCCCCGCCGCCCCGCAGCTACAGCTTGGAGTGCCGACGGGCTGACCTCCCCGCTCGGACGGTTCCGAGCTGCAGTCTACAAAGCAGCACCACCCTCGCGACTCCGGTGCGTGTGAGGAACACAGGCTTGAAAGGTGCCAGAGCACAGGGGGTTTGAAGACCACCCCGCTCCCCGGCTGCTTTCCAGGCCCCTCCCCGGCACGTGGGGGCCGGGACTCACCGCCATGCTGTGGGAGAGCTGCTCGGCCGTGAGGCTGAGGCTGTAGTGCTGGGCCTCCAGCCTGCGGCACTGCGTCTGCAGCACCTGCCGCTCCAGGTTTTGCTCTGAAAAGACAAGACGCGTCAGGATGTTTTCCGGCTCAGGGGCCCCGCGCAGGGCTGCCCTTCTCTCCAGGCGGCCAGACTTGTCCTCCGGACCACAGTGGCCCCTGGCCCTCTGCACCGCACAGGAAATCCAGCCCTGCGGCGGGAGGACACAAAGGTCCTAGTGTCAAAAGGCTATTTAAGACGCACAGGTTAGGAAGTCATTAAGGGTAAATTCACGGTCTTAAAATGCATTTTTCAAAAGAAAGCTTAGGTATGAAAGCTTTTAATAAGGTGCTTAGAAAAAAAAAAAAAAGGCCAGAGTAAACCTGGACACTGAAAGTGATTTTAATTAGGATGATCGCTGCCTTTCCCAAAGGTCCTGGGCCTGGTTTTCACAGGAGCGACCTCAGACTTTCGGGGACCAATCTGTGCCTTCTATGAAGTGCTTCTGGGCTGAAGCCTTTCCTGTTGGTGCAACACAACGGCTCTCCCTGCGCCAGTCCCAGATGCCTGCACACCCTACCCGGAGGGCAGCTGTCCTGGCGAGTCCCGCAGTCCTCTGGTGGGCTTGATGGGAACGAGAAGTGACTTTTTTTTTTTTTTGGTGGTAGCTTAACAAGGGCAGTGAAGGCCAGGAGAGGCTGACTGAGTTACAGAAGCAGGAACAACTGACAGCGGATGCAGGGCAGTGAGATGCGTCTCTGGCCACTTAAGGATAGAGATGCAAAATGTTAAAAGCGCTAACAAATTCAGCAAGGAGCAGGCCACGTCAGAAAACACCAAAGGGGAACAAACCAAGGCTGTCACTTCCACGGGCCTAGGCGCCCCATGAACTCTGACGGTCTCCAACAAGAACCTTTATTTCTTCCCAGTCTCATAAACCAGAGAAGAGCCCCGTTAGTGCCGTGCTGTTTGGTAGCTCAGAGGCCGGTCCGAGGCAGGGCAGTGGGACAGAGTAAAAACTCAAAAGAACTAACTTTGGTTTACGGAAGATCTGACCGGCTAAGACCATGTAAGGAATAAGGAAAAACAGAAACTAAAAGTCCATGACAACCCCACTGATGCCTACAACTCAGTATAATAAAAGGACGTTGTTTATGGCAAAAAAAGGGGTGGGGTGGGGTGGGAAATGGTTTAATGCAATTTAATACAATAATCATAGAGGAAATGGCATTGCTATCAAAAATACTAACTCTCCCCAAATCTGTAAATTCAGTGCAACTGCAAATTCTAACAAGAATTTTCTGCAACAAACAAGGTGACCCTAAAATCCATGGGGGGACCCCAAGGGCCAAGAGCAGCGGAGCTGCCAGAGAAGTGCAGATCCCAGTGTTCCCTGCAGACAGCAGCCAGTGGCAGAGCTCGTGCCCCCACAGGGTGGCCTAGGGATGGCCACGCAGAGCGGGACACCACGGCTCGCCCTGGGCACAGGTGGGGGGTGAAAACCGCACCCCATAAACCACCAGGGTAACGGGCTATTCAGGGGGGGGAAGACCAAGTTGAATTTCTGCCTAGTCCAGCATGGAAATGAATTCTAGGCCTAACAAAATCAGAGCCTGAAGAATTTCAGAAGACTACGGACAGAATCATGTCCTCAGGGCAGGGAAGGATTCCCCACGAGGCACCAAGATCCTAACCCCACAGGACAGACACGCTTCACTCTGACAAAACGTCCCGTAACTGGTTCTGGACACACGGGTTCACTTGGAAACACCATGGACCGAGCGAGCAATTCAGTTCAAAACAGGGTTCCTCCCGGAGGAGGAAGCGGGCACAAGGGCAGACAGGCTGTGTGCGGCCACACAAGCAGGCATTCCTTTTCTCAGTGCTTTAAAACGGCTTTTCAAAGGATTTGTAACGATCAGGACATTCCATAATCAAATGCACAAGAGGGCTCCCACTCCCTGCTCAAAACGAAAGCCCCTCTGTGGCTGGTAAGGCCCGAGTCCGGGAGGCCCTGACCCCGCGCTCCGCTCAACCCGCCCTTCCACCGAAGTCACAGCACCGCCGCCTCCGAGCCAGATGCCTCTCGAAACGGAGGACCAGAGAAAGGAGCCAGCATGCTAGAAGCACAAGGACAGGACGTGGACCCTGGGACCCCTACCCAGAGCCCCTCACCCTGAAGCACTAGGCCCCAGGAGGAGAGGGGTGCAGCGGCTACGCCGAGGGCTGGCCCTCCTGCACAAAGCACTAGCCCAGCACGCAGGCGGGGGCAGTGACCAGGCCTCACTACTTAGGGCTCAGCTAAATTCACAAACCTTCCATTTTCAGGACCCTGGTGTGTAGCCACAGTCCGGACCACCAGGGCATTTAGAAGCGCGGCGGCAGACAGCAAGCACGGAGAGCGTGGCCCAGGTCCATGCTGTCCCACTGAGTGGTAGCCACTGGTACTTAAGTTCCTCCAGGGACCATGTCCTCCAGTCTATAAACTGGGGCACCCGCAGAAGCCCAAGGAACAGTTTTGGAAACAGGCGGGGCAGTGGACGAAAATTACCTAGTTGTGCCCCAGGAACGCAGAGTGTCTGTGCCACCATGTAGAGTCCCCGTAGTTGGCAGGGAGAGCCCGCACAGATGGGTCCAGTCCGCTTCCTTTTACTTTCTTTCCCACGGCCCTCGGCCCTCCCCCAGGTACCTTCTATATGTTCCTGGTAAGCCTCGAAGATTGCCCTCGGCCCCTCCCCCATGGCCCTCGGCCCCTCCCCCAGGTACCTTCTATATGTTCCTGGTAAGCCTCGAAGATTGCCTCGATCCCTTGCCACTTGCGCCTGGGGGGTTCGTCGTCCTCCTCCTCTCCGTCGTCTTCGTCCTCCTCGGAGTCCTGGTCCATCTCTTGCGTGAGGGGGCCCTTCCTCCCGGGGGGGGACCTCCTGCCCGTTGTGCTGGGGCGGAGGGAGCCGGCTGGAGGACTGCAGCTCCGGAATGTTGTAGTGGACGGACGCGTCGACTTTGTGGCTCTGCTCGGCAGACAGCACGGCCGCGCCCCCTGCGGGGAGAGAGCAGCTCGTGACGGGCCGCTGGGACTCTGCGCGACAGCGGTTCTGCTAAGGGAGGACGGAGAGGCCCGTACCCTCCAGAGGTCAAACGTGGCAACCAAGGGCAAGGTCGGAGAGCCACAACGACCCCAACAGACCTGTGTCTCCTCCACTCAGTCCCAACGGGCGTGTGGTCTCAGCCACGCCGATCCCCGAGCGACACGGCACTCCGTGTCCTGTCTTAGGAAACGGGGCTTGAGGTCTGTAGCTGGCCCTCGTGGACACCAGTCAGTGCCCTCTCAGGGAGCGCAGTCCTGTGGGCTGCGGGCAGGACCCGGTTCGATGAGGCCGGCACTGCCCCGTGGCACGACCCTGCACGGCCCGGACTGGCAGGAGACGGAAGGCTTTAAAGTCCTCAGGAGGGGGACGCCTGGGTGGCTCAGTTGGTTAAGCAGCTGCCTTCGGCTCAGGTCATGATTCTGGCGTCCTGGGATCGAGTCCCGCATCGGGCTCCTTGCTTGGCAGGGAGCCTGCTTCTCCCTCTGCCTCTGCCTGCCATTCCGTCTGCCTGTGCTCGCTCTCTCTCCCTCTCCCTCTCTGACAAATAAATAAAATCTTTAAAAAAAAAAAAAACCTAATAAAATCCTCAGGAGGGGGCGCCCGGGGGGCACAGCTGTTGGAACGTCCGACTCTCGGATTCAGTTCAGGTTGTAGACGCCGGGCCTCTGGGATGAAGGCCCGTGTGGGGCTCTGTTCCGGGCTGGCTTCTTGCTCTCCCTCTCCCCTGAGCCTTGTGTGTCGCTCTCTAAAGTAAGTGAATGCGGGCGCCTGGGGGGCTCTGTCAGGGTCTGCCACAGGCTCAGGTGGTGATCCGGGGTCCTGCTGAGCAGGAAGCCTGCCTCTCCCTCTACCCCTGCCTCTCTCTTTTTTTTTTTTTTAAAAAAACTTAAAAAAAAAAAAAAAAAAGCCCTGAAAAAACAGTCTAGTGTACTGTCAGGAAAGGGTTGGTGTAAAACAAGGCAGGAAAAACGTGTCCTAGGTCCACAGAAAAGCCTGCGACGTGTGTCGGAGAGGGCAGGGGTATTTAACCTGGTCCCCTAGTCAAAATATTTTCTCCCTGAAAAACCAGACTCGTTCAAGTACATCCACGACAAACACCCAGTCAAGAAAACTCCTGATTCTGACCGTGACCACCACCGCCCTTTAGCCCGTTACTTCCTCCTGGCTACTGGCGCACATGGAACGTCACCCTCGGTTGTTACTGAAGCACCAGGCGTTCTCCCATCGGGCCGTTTCAACCTTTGACTCAGCGAGAACGAGCTGTAGCGACCCCTGTTCTCCCACCTTTGGGGACTTCCACGTGGGTCTGGGGCCCCGAGTGTCCCACAAAGTGCCCTCGGAGGCTGCTGGAACGAACAGCGCTGGTCCGGGTGTCCGAGCGGGGAGACGCAGGGGTGCGTGCGCGGGAACGCTGGGAACGCTGGCGCTACGGAAGGAACAGAGCCTCCCTATGCCTGAGACCGGCCTTGCGGAAAGCAAGGGCTTCTACAACTCAGAGGACGTCCCTTGCTAACTTTTCCTGAACTGGGGTCGGCAGGCCAGTGGCAGCAGCGGCACCTCGGCACCTGTCAGCCACGGAGCGTTCTCGGCACCTCGTGCACACCGACGTTTGAGGGCGACCTGGATGCAGCTGGGTGCTCCGGGAAGCCCCGCCGGCCGCTCTGGGGACACGGGAGTGGGACAGGGACAGGGAGCCTCAGTACCTTTATGTTTCTGCAGGGCCTTCTGGGTGGACTGCAGCACAGACTCGTGGAACTGGTGCGCGAACTCCTCCGCCAGGAAGGGCTCCCACGGCTTGCTCTTCCCGTTGATGCTGTGGGACAGCGGCACGGGGACGTCCTTGGGCGTGGGGCCGCGGATGTGATGAAGCAGGCTCAGGCTCTTCTTGCCCCCGGGGGCCTCGCTCAGCCTGGCCTTCTCGCCGCTGGGCGCTGCTGGCTCCTGGACCTGCGACAGCTCCTGGGGCCGGAGCTGCTCCAGTCTCCCGGGCTCCGTGGCCTTGGCGACGTCAGACAAGGAAGCAGCGACACCCACAGGCTTCTCTGTCTCGAGAGAGGCTTGCTGCGTGGCTGGTTCTTTCGGAGAGAGAAAGCGAGGACAACGGTGAGAGCGGCACCTGAACGGGCAGGCGCTGACCTCTAGAGCTGATGTGTAATAAAGACCCAGCACAGAGAACCACGACCCAGGGGGCCGTTCAGCTCAGCGTCCGTGAGTGCACGCGGTCGGGGGGGGGGGGCTGCGTTCCGCAGCGAGTCCCTCCTTGAGCGGCGCCCCGGGAAGGCAGCTGGGAAGAAAGAGAATCTGAAGGAAGCAGCAAGTCGCTTCAAGTCACCCACAAGGGAGGTGGTAACGCGCCCCAACCCGGTAAGAGAGACGGCGTTAGGATCTGGGAACAGGGCCGGACCACAGAGATTGCCGGTTCCACTGAGCAGCGCAGTGAGATGTGACCGAAGCGGGGAGAGAGAGAGAGAGAAGAGGCGTGAAAGCAAGTGTCGGAGAGGCCTGCAGGGCAGAACACGCGAGACGGAGATGCCAGAGCGCGCCAGCTCGGGGCCGGCCGGAGCCGCAGGGCGGGAGCAGCAGGCACCGGGATCCGGGGCTCGGGGCTTCTGAGGCCCGGCCAGGTGGCCATGACGTCACCGAACGACCGCAGACAGCCCTTCGAAGCCGGGACCCTCCCCGGCGGCTCCCGGCCCTGCTCTCCCGCGGTCCTGCTCTGTCCCGAGGACCGCGCACCCAGCCGTGCGGGCGGCTTGTGAAAGAGCAAGACGGAGAGGAACGCCCTGCCTCCGGGAGGAAAGATTCCTGACGAAGAAGACCTTGAGGGGTTGCCTCTGACCTCGGGCAGCCCTCAGGACAGTCCCAGGCGGCCGCGGAGGAAGGGGCTGTCCTTCCCGCCCTGGGCCTTACCGCTCAGGGAGACAGCAGGACTGTCCCTCGGAGAGCTCCTGAGTGGGTCTGCCGCTGCTGCGGACAGTGCCTTCTGCTTCAGGGCACGGAGCATTTCAGCAAGTTTCTCTTTGTCTATGAGAAAAGCAGCCTAAGGTTAACACCACGGGGGGGTTGCTGGGGAGCAGGCTCTGCCCGGGCCCGGGCTGGCAGGCGGGAGCCCTTCAAAGCAGGAGCGACGAAGCGAGCACCGAGGGGCCAGGCTGTGCTGGAAGGAGGAAGCCTGCCTTTCAGAGCGAGCCCAGATTCCGCTCAGCTCTTACTGCAGAGCCTTCCAGACCCGCTCCGAAAACAACGGCGTGTGCACCGCGAAGTAACGGGTTCGGACTCCCCACGCGGCGTTCGTGTTTAAGGCTCACGCGCACGAGAGGGCCCCACACAAAGTGGCAGCCCGGGAAGCACAGGCTCCAGGCGCATCCTCCGCCCCCCCATGCCCGGCCCACGAGCACACGTCCCCGGGTGGCTGCCGTTGACCGAAACGGGCCGGACCCTCCGTGACGCCCAGCGTGGCGAGTTCCCGTGGCGGTGACCCTCGTTCCTGACCCCGAGTGCCTGCATCACTGTGGCTTCCTCTAGGGCTTAAGTCAGGCAAAAAGACGCTGGTTACAGACCGACCACGACTCTTCCTGGGCGCCAGCGTGGGCGACTGACACGTCCCTGCCTCATGGGCGCACGGGTCCCACTAGACCGGCTAAAGGCTGAATGCAAACGGCTCCAGCCCGCTAACGCCGCCAGCGGATCAAGCCCGGGACCAGTCAGAGCTCCCGCCTTCATCCAAATTCCTTTCGGAGAGAAGCGACCGCCTCGGTGTGCAAAGCTGCACCTGGAAGTGTGCACGGAGCACCCAGACCGGCCAAGTCCTCACCCGAACGCAGACACCACGCGAGCGTGCGGAGCGCACGGAAGAGCAGGATGCCCGACGCGCTCGGAGCACGCCAGTCCCGCGCCAGTCCCGCCCTGCGGCTCCTGCCCCAAGGTGCGGCCCGGGTGCGGCCCCAGTGGCCTCAGGGCCCCAGAAGCACCTGCCAGGGCAAACTCAGCTGCCCCGGGCCTCCTGCCGTGGCAACATGAAGTGCCCTGGGCCACGCCGGCCCCAAGAGGAAAGTGGCTACCACGGGAGGGTGTGACGCGCCCCTGCGCCGGGGGTTGCTCCGCTGGCCGCGCAGGTGCCGGGAGGTCTGACAAGTGACGAGAGTAGTGGAAGCAGAGGCCACCGAAGCGAGAGAAATGCACTCCAAGGAGGGGCGCTGCATTTGGAACGGGGAGTCGATACCAGAGAGACACGGGGGCAGGCCTGTGACAGCAAAGCGGCCGCCTCGCGGGGGGCCAGACGGAGCGAAGAGAGCCCCAGACGAAGCGCCTTCCGATCGCGCCGGGAGCCCACGGCCCTGCCGCTCTAGAAGCCTGTGGCCGTGGAGCGACCCCAGCCCGCGAGGCCCGCACCAGGCCGTACCTTTCCTCTTCTCAGCGCTGATGTGGGTCAAGTTGAAGATGGTCAGGAACTGCTTCTTCTCTTCAAAGTTGGGGCTGTTGTTCATCTCGTCGGGGCTGTAGCGGGTGGACAGCGCCAGCCTCGGGGAGGGCGTCTGCCGCTTGTTCTGCATCGTCGGGGGCGACGGGCTTCTCTCCCTCAGCATCCGCCGCCGTTTCCTCCGCTTCTGGGTCAGCAATTCCTCCTTCTGCTGTTGGGTGGTCAAGCCAAAAAGTTGCAAAAACTCTAGCTTCTAGATTGGGAAAGAGAACAAATAAGTTTGAAACCTTGGGCAGTGGCATGCTTCCACGGTCCCAGGGGCCCCTCCTCGGGTCCGTGCAGCCCGTGTGCCGTGGCCCACTCGGCACCGGGCCACAGAGCAGGAGCCCGACGGCCAGCACACCCAGACAGCGGCCGCCAGCAAAAGAGAGGCGCACAGGGAGTCGCAGCGAGGGCGGGGCTGCCCGGGACAGCGGGAGGGAAGCCAGGAAGCAGGCGCTGATGGGGGCACCGGGAGCCCAGCCCACAGCCCCAGGCAGCAGAGACCAGGTTCCAATACCTCGGAGGACGTGTCCAGCTTGAGCGGTGGCTGCTCAGCCACACAACGGAGGTGGGCCCTGACCTCCTCCTCGTCGCTCTCATCATAGGAGTCATCTAGGTCGTAGTAGTACCCTGGGGGCGAAAACGATTTATTTGGCTGGGCAAGGGGCCTCATCCTGCAGCGGGGCACACATGGGGCCCCCCGACTTGCGTACAGATGCTCCTGTCAGACCAGGCCCGGCCTCTCTGAGCACCCTGAAGCCCGGATTCCTCTCAGCCCCGGTGGAGATGTGCACTGACTCCCAGTCCTAGGGTTTTCATGCTGGACAGGGACAAGGGCTGGGCTGGGGCATGGAGGCCGCAGGAGGCAGATGCTGGGTTTCCTCTGGACCCCAAGTGACCAGGCTGAGACAGCCCGAAAGGACAGTGATCTCTCTGCAGGGAATCCTTCGTCCCACAGGCCTGGGCTGTGTCCACGCAACCCAAGGCTGTGCGTGTGCACCCACCCCTCCTACTGTGGCCATCTGGGTCCCTTACCCAGGAGGGGGCAGGCGGACTCAGGTCCCTAAGGCATGGAGCACGCACAAAAACTCAGATGCAGAGGCCCGCAGAACCCCTGCACCAAGGGCACCGGAGTATCCCCTCTTCCCTCCTCACGAGGCAAGTGGAGATGAAAAATACTTGTCGGCCCTGAGTCTGGCCTAGAGCAACCTGGGAAGACCTGGCCTTGGCCGCAGCTTCCGGCTGAGAGACTGAGTTCAACAGGAGAAAAGCTCTGTGCTGGGGTAGCCCCCAGGGCCTTGCCCCACGCCCAGCCGCCGCCCACCCCTCCCCAAGGATGACAGCCCCCATGAGGAGCCCCCACTGGGCCCAGGCCTGTTCTCTCAGCAGCTTCCTGCCCTGTCATGCTTCACTACCAGCATGTAAGACCACTTTATTAGTCAGCTCTGTTCACCACCTATCAATCGTGCCTGTCTGTGGAACCGTCCTCCCAGAGAGCTCAGGTTTGGCTTTTTGGCCGATCTGTGCTGTAGCAGGACCGACAGGGACTGCAGGTCCGTCTCCCCAGCAGAGGAGTCAGAGAGCGACACAGGAGCCAGCAAACCTGCTCCCTGGGCGGCTGGCAGCGTGGCCGGGGCGGGGGGGGGGCGGGGGCGCTGGGACCACTGTCCCCCACCCCCGCCCCAGGAAGTCCGAGCGGCCGGGGAGCCACACCTTTCTCCTGGGCCTCTCGCCGCCGGCGCTCCTCCAGGTCCAGCTTGCTGACCAGCCGCCGCCGCTGCTGCAGGAGCTCGTCGTAGATGTAGGCCGGGTCGGGGCCCCGTGGCGCGGGCGGCCGGTAGGGCGAGCCCGGCTTCAGCGGCCCGGCCAGCTCGGCGAAGGGGGCGGGCTGAGGGAGGGCGGCCCGCTGCTGGCCCAGGAGCGTCTGGGTGGACTTCTCGAGCTCGGCCAGGAAGGGCCCGGGCCCGTGAGGAAAGGCCTGGTGCTCCAGGCCCGCCGCCTCCCTCGGGGGTGGCTGGTACTTGTCCAGGGCAGCGGCCTCGCGCTTCCGGGGCCCGTCCTCCGCCTTCTCCTGGCAGTACACGCGCTCCACCTTCACCAGTGGGACAGCGGCCTGGCGGCTGGGCTCGAACGGGGCGGGGTGGCCGTGCAGAGGGTGGCTCTCCGGGGCCCGCCGCGGCTCCAGGCTGCTGTCCATCAGGGACACCGGGTTCCAGAGGCCCGTGGGCACAGAGTGGTGCTGGGGCTTGGGCGAGATGAGCGGCGGGGGCCCGCCAAAGTGCTGCGGGGGGTCTCGGCTGCCCGGCTCTGGGCGGTTTGGTCCCGGCCTGGGGAAGGAGCAGAGCAGGCCGTCGGTCACGACAACAGCCGCCCAGGCACAGCTAGAAGGGCGCCCAGGCCGCCACCTCTGAGACCCCTTGACAGGCTGCCGCCCAGGGACCCCTGCTCGCCTGCCACAGCTAGAGGCAGGGAGGCGTCGACTTCTGAGAGAACACGGAGGCTCGGAGGTGAACGCTGCTCGTGGACAGAGACGGTCTCGGGCCGGACCCGTTTCTGCTCCCGTTCCCCAGCACCCCCCAACCTCACCCACAGCGAGCTCTGTACGAGGACAGACCTTTGCTCCCCGCAGGGAGACCCCCTGCGGAGAGGACACGTCTCTGACGGCAGAGGTGTGGCCCTGTCACTGGCACCTCCGTGTGTGCCAAGCAGTGGACAGACACGGGGCAGGGCAGCCTTCCCAGGGGCCGCTCTTCTCTCCTAGGTGTCTGCCCAGCCAGTGGGGCAGGGACACCTGCTTCTGAGGTGGCCGTCACAGCTAGGGAGGCTCTGTGCTCTTGCCGAACCCCAGCGGTCCCCATCAGAACAGCAGCAGCTGGGACGCCTGGGTCCCTGATCCTGGGCTCAGTGGGCTAAGTGTGTGCCTTTGGCTCGGGTCCTAGGATGAGCCCCACGCTGGGCTCCCTGCTCTGCGGGAGTCTGCTTCTCCCTCTCCTCCTTCCTCTTCCTCTCTCAAATAAACAGTTTTGGGAGGGGAAGAAGGCCAACAACCCCACCTGGCCCCAAGGCAGCAGCTACACCCAAAGAGTCCCCTGGAGCCAAGCCACTGGGTGGGGTGCGGCGCGGTGCTGCGCGGCACACTCGGGCGGGAGCCGGAGGGCGCCGTCCATTGGGTAAGTCGCTTCGCCTCTATCCTAGCTTCCAGAGCAGCCCCCACCTGGCCAAGGGGCGGGCACCGAACCACAGCCACGAAGTTACTACCAAATGCAGGCTGGGAGAACGCCCCCGAAGGCCACTGCACCGCTGACCAGCAGAGATAAAAGGCCACCGTATCAAGAAGCCACAGGCCCTTAAGTAAACGGTCAAAGAGCGAAAGCCGTCAGCAGAGTAAGTACGTCCTGCACCACAGCCGAGCACGGGGTGGTTTTCTAGCTCGGAACACGCGGGCCCGTCGAGGTCAGGTTCACACTGCTGTGAGGGCAAGCGTGCGGCCAGCTGCTGTGGGGACCACGGAGGTGGGGAGAGGGCAGCTGGGGGCCAGATCCCGCCCCCCACCCCAGTGCCCCGGCCCGCCTGAGGCTGCTACGTCCGGAGGCAGAGGCTGCCCTACTGGAGACAGCAGTGCCAGGCTCCTGGGCCTTGGGCAGAGAAAGAATCCCGTGGAGCCAGGATACCCAGATGTTATCAGGCTGGCCGGGCTGTGCCGGCTGCTCTCCCAGGCCCCCGGGCGCGAGGAGATGGGAGGAGCAAAGGTCAGCTCACAGGCAGACAAGACCTCGCCTCTAAGAGGCCTCAGAGAAGCAGAGGAACGGTCAGCAGCAGAGACGCCCTCGCTGCGGCCACGGTGGGCAGTGCCACCTGCCGGCGTGGGGACACCACCTCAGAGCAAATTAGCCAAGCGAATCCCCACCGCTGCCCTTCCCAGCGGACGCCGCTCAGGGCGGTGGACCAGGCCAGCAGCGCCCGGCACAGTTGGCCGAAGGCTAAAGGAAAGAGGCGATAAGCACGTGGACGTTGGAAAAGCCTCCACCAGGCAGCGTCCTAGCCACGGAGATCTTCCTGCCTGGCCTCCCTCGTGCACAACTGGGGAAACTGAGGTCAACATCCCCTGTCCCTGAGACATGGCCAGGCAGAGAGGGATGGACTGTGGGGTAGGGACGCTATAGGTGACAGCCAGACCACCAGGTGGCAGTGGGGAGGCTCAGGCACAGCTGTTAAGTGGAGGACGGGGCCCAAGGACGGGCACAAAGGCCTCCCGGGGGATCCCAGAATGCGGCTGGGAAACGGGTATTATTGCAACAGCAATAAACTTAATTTTCTATTTGAACGAAAATTAAACGTAGCCCCGACTCTTATTAAAGAAACGTTTCGGCTTGAAAGCAGAGGCCCACAGCGAGAGCGGGTGTAAGGAGCAAAGCCTTTCTCGCCCCCGCCAGGCGCCTCGACGGTCCCTGTGCAGACGCAGCCAGGCTGTGCGGGAAGGCCCTGGCTCTGGCTGGCGCCGTCACCGAGGGACAAGCACCTCTGTGGGCCTCACCGGTCAGAGGCAGAGCCCGTGGTAGCAAGTGAAAGCACTCAGGAGGCGGTGCAAACTGCAGGCGCCCCATAAATGCTGGCTGGCTCTGAGCCCATCCAAGCATGCAGACCCCCTCCCTCCCGGGCCTCCCCCGGCGCTCCCCGACCCCGCCGAGCCCCACCTGGCGCTGTCCGGCCTGTGCTCCGCCTCCGTGGGCGCCGGGGGCCGGCCCATGTCCAGGTGCTGCTCCAGCACCTGCTGCCGGAACTCCGACACCTGCGACTGCCGGTCCTCCTTCTCCTGCCGCAGCCGCCGCTGCCGCGCCAGCCACTTCTCTTCCTCGTTGGTGCGCTGGATGAGCAGGGCCGTGGCAGCGCTGCTGCCCGGCAGCGAGAAGATGCTGTGGTTGGACAGGAGGCCGGGCACGGCGTGGTGCGCAGCGGGCGCCGGGTGCAGGGGGTGCTGCACGGGCTTCGGGGCCTGCAGGCCGGCCTCCTTCAGCTTCTCTGTGGGGACAGACGGCCGCCGCCGCCCCTCAGCGCCCGCGCCCGGCTGCCTGCCCCCGGGGGCCCCAGGGAGCGCACATGGTTCCCTGGGGTCCCGCCAGCCGGTCAACAAGCCGGCGCTAAGCCTGACTGCGATGCGCTCGCGGTGAAACGAGGTATGTTTAAGGCAAAGGGAAAAAAACACTCAAAACTCTTCCCTCCCTTCCTAAAGCGCTCACTGCCCTTGGCCATCATGCACAGCGGCCTTGGCGGACCCACCGTCCCCACTCCCGGCCGTGGACGCCCGGGCCCCGCAGTACCTGGGCGTGTTGGGGTCAGCTGCTCCGAGGGCTTGCCGCGCTCCTCGCCGGCGTGGCTCCGCAGCCCGTGCAGCTCGGCCACGGGCAGGAAGGCCGGCTCCAGCGCCTTGGCCGCCAGCAGCTCCTTCTCACGGGCCCGCTGCTCCCGCTGGCGCTCCAGCTCCCGCTCCCGCTCCTTCTCCCGCTCGCGCTCCAGCTCCTTCTCCCGCTCACGCTCCTTCTCCCGCTCCCGCTCCTTCTCCCGCTCGCGATCTGCCTCCCGCTCCCGCTCGCGCCTCAGCTCCTCATCCAGCTGGAGCCTGCGGGCGAGGGGAAGGAGGCGGTGACGACCGACGTGCTGCTGCTGGGGGACCAGCACCGTCACTGGCACCGCGACAGCAGACACACAGGCCTCCACGTGGACTAAGTCACCGAGAGACTCCAAAGCCGAGAGACCGAAAGCCGCCACCCGCTCCCTGAGCCTCACCCGCACGCTCGCGCCAGGAGGCAGGCGACGGACCATGGAGCTGCTGGGCACCAGCCGTGCCCCACCTCCCGGGTGAGCAGACAGAGGCCCCGGGGGCCAGCCTGACCCCGCGCCGCACCCCGTGAGCAGGCCCAGGCCCAGGACGCGGCTTACCTCTCGGCGCTGAGGCTGGACATCCGCTCCGAGTGCAGCGCAGCCAAGGACGAGTGGGAGAGCTCAGGGGGATAGCGGACGCCCGAGAGATGGAGGTGCATGGCCGACGGGTGCAGGGGGGGCAGGGAGCCGGGGGTGGGGATGGGGTAGAAGGGGGACCGTAGGGCTGACAAGCAGTACGAGTCATCCATCCTGTGCAGAGAAGATCGGGCCCAGTGAGACCCAAAGTGAAAGAACACCATGACCAGGCCCCTCCGAAGGTGCCACGCAGCCACGGCAGAAAGGCGGGGAGCCGCCCCCAGGGGCCTGCGGACAGAGGCCGCGCCACGGCCAGCCCCCAAATCCAGCCAGGACGCTCTCAGGCTTGACCGCAGGCGCCCCGGGAGCAGCAGCCCATGGTCCACAGACGCATCGGGCCAGGACTGGCAGGGCCCCTGCACAGGGCAGAGGTGGGGACACGCTTCCCCTGGGGCTTCCCAGCGACGCAGCCGAACAGATGGCCGCTGTGGGCGTGGGGGACGGGGCTCCCGCCAGGGGTGAACCCCTTGCGGCTAACTCGGAAGGCCGGGGCTGCTCGAGGCACGGAGCCTGGCCCCAGAAAGCCAGGCTGACTCAGTGGCGGGCCTCACCTGAAGGCCGGGTGGGGGAACGGGTGCGGGGCCAGGTAGCTGGGGTGGTAGTAGGCGGCGGCGGCGGCGGCTGGGTCCAGGCCAAGCGGAGGCAGGGAGGACATGCGCAGGTCCTCAGTGGTGTGGTAGGGCCGGAAGCTCCTCAGGTAGTCTTCGGTCACGGTGCTGGGGGGCACCACGTGGTGCACAGGCCGCTGCAGGCTGCGGTGGGGACGGACGGATACGAGGGGACGGACGGACACGGGGAGGGCTGCGGTGAGCAGGGCTCCCGCACCGGGCTGGCAATGGGCCAGTCCTCCCGCACGCCCCCGCCAGCATGGAGGGGCTCCGGGGACAGGTGATGTGCAGAAACAAGAGGTGGGCTGCGATGGCTCCTCAGGCCCCCCCACAGCCCAGAGGCACCCCTGGCTCCAAGAGCCCCGACCGGAGCTTAGGCAGTGGGGAGAGCCACCTAGCACCTCAGTGTGGACGTGGGCAGCAGGCACAGCCGGGACCGTGGGCCTGGGGCTCCGCCACCGTCTGGGGCTCCCAGCCTCGGCTAGTGCGGCCTCCGGGATCCGGACCCCCCGGTACACGCACCCCCACTCCTGACCTGCAGACTTACTTGAGCGGTGGGAAGCGTGAGTCCTGCACCACAGAGCTGGGGGAGATGCCAAAAGGGTAAGGGGTGCTGAGCAGGTGTGAGGGGATGGCTGGGCCCCCCGCCTTCTCCTGGGGCAGTGGGGGCTCCACGATGAGGCGCTCCCGCCCACTGCTGCTGCCCCGAGAGCCGGTGTCCTGCTGGGGGACAGAGAGCACCAGCTCAGGCCCAGGGTGCAGGGCAGGGTCCTCCTCCAGACCCAGGGAGGCTCATGTTTTGGGGCGTGGTCTAAGATACACTTTCCTAACAGGTTTGCACCCCATCCCCGTGGGGCATGTGGGAGGCAGTGCCCCCACTTCCGGGAGGACACAGGCTCTCGTGGCAGGAAGGCTGCGTGGAAACCCATCTTGTTGCAGGGGCCACGAAAGCAAGTGCCCGTGAGCAGACGCGGAACGGAGCGGGGACCCCCTCGCCCTTCCCACGGGGTCACCGGCGCGGGGAGGTCGGTGCTGTGGCAGCAAGCGCAGGAAGTGAGTTCCACTCTGCAGCAGGGAGCAGCGAAGCCGGCCGGGCCCCCCACCGTCCACGGATCACCGCGCAGGCACAGGCCACCCCCAGGGGCCGAAGCGGCAGCTGTGCTGACAGCTGCCAGCGCACATCACAGACCCCTCGGCCCCCTGGCGCCCGCAGAGTCACAGCCGACAAGCTGGCACGGCCCCCGGGCAGAATGCGCTGGTCTCAGCCCGCTGCCAACCCCCAGGGGTGGTCCTGGCACCGGCCACGGCAGGCAGCTGTGGGACCCTGACTGGCCGGACCCGTCTGGGGCCACCTTTGCACACACGGTTGGTGGGCTGGGGTCCAGCGGGGAGGCAGACCCTGGGAAACCGGAGGAGGGGCTTGCTCAAGGCGGGATGGGGGAGAAGAGGAGCCCCGCCCAAGGGCAGAGCCTGCCATGTGTAGCCACACGGAGGGACCACAGAGGGAACGCACCCCACCCACACTCGTGACTGCTCTTGTCATGCCCGCGGCTGAAGGGAGCCGAGCAGCCAGCCTCAGAGGACATCCACGGCAGTCGGGGGCTCCTGACATCTATTCAGAATCTTCTGGATTCTGGAGCAGCTGGGGGCAGGGGAGGAGCCTCCACCATCGAGACAGCCCTTCCCAGCCCAAGCGAGGTCACTACCAGCCCAGGCCTGGCCTCAGCCACGGGGGTTCTGAGGCCATGGCTACGGGCTCCCCCAGGCCCCAGCAGCTCCTCGACCAGGCCCTTCCTTCTCCTGGCTGGACCGCGCCGCCAGCCCCCCGCCCCTGCCCCTCCCCCAGCGAGCGGAGAGCAACCCGGGGCCGCAGGAAAGCAGGGGGCACTCGGGGGCTCAAACCCGGCCTGTCCACCCTGAATCCACGGTGTTCCCACCATGACACACCAAGCACCCCCTGAAGACAAGGGGGGACCACGACCCTTAGACGGTCTCCTCAGGGAGGCCCAGGCTGAGGAACACCGGACATGTGGCGGCTGAGCCCGGTCCCCGGAGGAGACACCCTGCTCCCTACTCGCCACCCCGCGTCCCAGGCTCTGCCGGGTCCAAGGCCGCCCGGCAAGGCTGGGAGGAAGGGGGGACAGCAGAGATGCCGTGGCCGCACCCCTGACCCCCCCACGACCCCAGCAGCAGCCACAGGCCCGTGGACCAGGCGGGGTGGGCCCTGGGGGCAACTGAGGAGGGCCTGGCCGGTGCCGCCGCCGCGTCCTCCCCGGCCTTCCAGGAGACACATCCGTGATAATTAACTGAAGGAGACAGGCCGCTGGTTGGACTTTTTAACGAGCGGCCACATCTGCTCCCGCCCGCAGCCTGGCACGGCCCTGCTGCTCACGGCGGGGTCCTCGCAGGTTCACGAGCTCTGGCTTGTCCTTCCCTGAAGGGGCGTTCGCGGGGCAGGCGTCAGGGGGCACATGCACGTGCACCAACAGCCTGCCTGGGTCAGAGCAAGCCGCCCAGAACTCTCACATCACTGTTCCAGAGAGTTCTATACAAGGGCCCATGCCTGGCCTCGGGTCCCGCAGATGCCTGTGTGGACAGCAGGGCGAGCTCCTATCCGGTCCTGGAGACCCTAGAGGAGACCCACTGCTGCCTCGTGCCTCAGTTTCTCCATCTGTCAAGGGGGCCAGTCACAGCCCCAGCTCCTGGTGTGACAGGGACAGACACGCACAGCAAGGGGAAGCAGGCAGAGAACCAGCACGTGGCCCGCCCACGCGAGCGTCTTAGGGGCTGTGTGCAGGCCGGGGCTTGCTGGGTCTTTCCACGGGGCTATCAGCTGGCGCGCGGGCCCCACGCCACCTGGCGGCAGCGCCCTGCTCCCCACAGGGTCCACCGTGGGATGGAGAAGGCCCCGTGGCTGTGGCCTGGGATGGACGCAACAGGGCGCACCCTGGACAGGGACAGTAGCCAAGGAGACCATGAACCCAGGGTGGCCGAACCCCCGGTCGGAGTCCTTGCCCCGAGGACCCCATCTGGGGAGGCGCTCCACCCAGGCAGCCCATGGCACACCAGGTCCCGGCCTGGTCGCATGCGCTCCAGGTGCAGAATCCCCGTGCAAGGCCAAGACCCCAGGGCAGCCACTGGCACGTAGGAGGCCCCCAAGGGCACCGTCCTGAGAAGCCCCTTCTCCCCTCAGTGGGACAAAGCCCAGCTTGAAGGCGGCTGGGCCAGATGGCACTTTGCCGCCAGCAGAGGAAAAACACGGTGCGGCAGGACCTGGGGGAGGGGCAGGCGGACTGGCGGGGGCCGAGGGGTGGGGGGGGGTTCAATGGGCCGGACCCACGCGCCTTCCGTCTGGCTGGAGGCCTGCCAGGCTCGTGGCAGGCCGCTGGGCACGAGGTCACCCTCTGGGGGCGCACAGAGGCTGCCCGGACTGGCTCGGTCACCCCGGGGCCCCCCAAGAGTGCGACAGGCTCCCACCGTCCCGGCAGAGAGCTGCGCGTCAAGGAGCATCTGGGGGCGGCTTCCCCTCCTGAGCAGCGGCGGCTGCAGGCCGCAGGCCCAGCGGTGCAGGCCCAGCGGTGCAGACTACGCAGGACGAGGGGGAGGAGGGGAGGGAGGAGGGGAGGGAGGAGGGGAGGGAGGAGGGGAGGGAGGAGGGGAGGGAGGAGAATCCTTCATTCTCCGGTGCCTGGAGAGAGAGTTCCGGTCAGGCGGGCGGGACAAGCCCTGTTAGCTTGAAAATAAACCATTTGCCATCTCTGCTGTCGTCTGTGGCCCCCCCGACCTGGGAAACAGGACCCTGGCGACTGGGGGATGGCCAGGCCCAGAGCCCCACCCCTACGAGTCCCCACCTGGCGGGGGAGTGAGGGACCCATCCCCTCCCCGCCTTCACGCCTCTTGCCAGCCCCGCTGCCCAGAAGGATCACATTCTCCACTGAGCCTTTGTGCCGCGCTGATGAGCCATACATCATCTGCTAATCCAGTTCCCTGCCCGCCGCCCTCCCTGGCGGCGCGAGTGTTTCAGTCACCGCCGCGGTGGTACGCGGGAGCAGATCGATCACGCCCTGTCCTCGGGGGTGACTAAATGCTTCGGAGGCAGGCAGGACCCTCGGAGGAGACCCTGGGAGGAGTCCCGCCGCGCGGGCGAGCGAGGAGGGTGATATGTGGGAGGCACCCTGGTCGGGGCCGATCAAGGGGGAAGGGAGCCGCCCTGGGGCTGGGCAAAGGGGACAGGCCGGGCCCCTGCAGCTGTCACAGCAGCCAGTGCTGAGCCTGGGACAGGCAGGCAGGACCCAGGAACCACCCCCCTCCCCCCACCCTGGGAGCCCTAAGGTCAAGACGGATCGCCAGGTGGCTGACAGCAAGACGCAGCGCACCCCTCCCAAGGCAAAATCCCCGGGGAAGACCCTTCGTCCTCCCTCAACCCAGGGCCAGCTCCGGGGTCTGCAAACCCCTCTGTGGCTGGAGTCTGGCCACCAGGCCCCACCTGGGCTCTCCTGGCCTCAAACTGCACACAGAGCACAACGACCAAAGCCAAGGGCCCAGACGGCAGCTCGAGACGCGCACGGCCCCAGGAGGGCCCCAGCCCACAGTTGTTCCTAGGAATTCAGGGATCCTGGGTGGGTTCCTCGTGGATCCTCACCTGGGGCCAGGGCCTGCCTGACGACCACCCTCTCTGTGGACAGAGGCTGGCTACCCCCGTCCCCCAGGGCAGAGAAAGAAGAGACAGACCCACCAAGAGGATGGGGGTGTGTGCATGGTGGGGCTGGGGACGGCCTTTGTGCCCACCTGCGTCTCCGCTTCCAGCGTTCTTGTGGTTTCATTGGTATTTCCCAGTACTGCACCCCCCATGCCCGGCCTGGAGCTTGGTAGGAAAACCCAGGAGGGAAGCCCAGTGTTCCCAGCCTCCTGACCCCGCTACTGGGATTCCCGGGGAACTGCTGGAGGGGTGGAGGTGGGAAGGGGGGCACGCAGCCGGGGCAGGGCTGAAGAACCGCTCCCAGGGCCTTCTGCAGGGCAAGCTGCCGCACGGGGGAGCCCCAGGTACCAGGGGGCGGCTCTGGAAGCTACAACGGAAGCCGGAAGCCGGAAGCGCCTTCCCTGCTCGGGTCCTGACTGGGGCGGCGATCCCAGCAGCTACCGCTCCCCAAGGGCCAGGACGTGCTTCCCAGGGGGCTATGCGTGGAACCACAACCCCCACCGCCAGTTCTCATGTCGGGGTGCGGACCCCCAGGGCCTCAGAGCGGGAGCGTGCTGGGAGGGCTTTCAAAGGGTCACGGAGGTCGGCCGTGATCCAACATGACCCGTGTCGTCAAGAAAAATGAGAACACAGACGTGCACAGAGGGAGCGCCCGGTGAGGACAGAGGGAGAAGGCGGTCTACACGCCCGGGAGAGGCCTCAGACCCCCAAAGAATAAGTGTGCCGTGGGAGCGAGCCCTGGCCCAGTGCTTGGCTGTGGCCGCCCGACCGGCACCGTCTCGTTTTCTTCCAACACACGGACCCTCCAGGCGAGCGTCGCGCTTCCCGCACGCACCCGCGCGCCCCGCGCTCACCTGCCGGCTCTCGCTCCTCCACACGCCGTTGACGGTCTTGGTGGGGGCGATCGTCACCACGGGGGGCGTGCTGGGCACACTGTGGCCCCCAGGGGGGACGATGATGGGGCCCATGGGCACGCGCTTCGGCGTGCTGGCCGGGGAGCTGTGGTTGGTGGCCGGCGAGGACACGGGGGACGACTCGCTGCTCAGTGAAGACCCTGCGGGAGAAGGAAGGGCAGAGCAGCGTGAACGGGGGTCACACCCACGAGGGCTCTGGCTGAGCCCAGCCAACCGGGCGCGGGCCGCACCCCGTCTCTGGCTTCCCTGGCCCCCTGGCCTCCAGGGACCAGCAGGGGCACAAGGTGCGGGGTCCCAGCGCCGCTCACTGGAGCCCTGAACCCTGATGTGAGGGTGAGAGGAGCTGGGAGCACGAGCAGGACGGGCAGGAAGGGTGACCCCTCCCCATGTTGATGGAGACCTGAGCCCCGGGCTCCGAACAGGGCAGGGACCGGGAGCAGTGGCCATAGGAGACTCATCTTTTTCCTTAGGTGTCAACTGTGATCGATTTAAGTTTTAAAAACCGAGCTTTAATTCACCACTGAAACCATAAAGGTCACTGGTTTCCAGCACATTCTGAGTCGTACAACCATCACCACTACCTGGCTCACTTCCGTGGCCCCATAAAGACCCGGAGCCCAGCCTCACTCCCACCTGCTGTCTGCTCCCCTGGAGGCGGGTGCGCAGGGCCTGGGGCGGGGAGGGAAGGGCTCTGGGGCTCCCGAGCGCAGCCAAGCCAGCCAGCTGCTCGGGTCAGTGGCTGCCGCCCCTGCGACGGGCACGGCGTGAACAAGGCAGGCACACTGGGCTCCCCAGGTCCGGACCCCCGGTGGGCATCCGGCACTGTCCAGGTCCTCCAGAGCCCTGCCCGGGCCTGGCTAAGTCCACAGCACACACCCACCCGCCCACCCCGCACTCCGGGTGGGGGGGAAGGAGACCCCCTCCGTGACCACACCGTGGTGGGTCCGCAAACATCGGCTCAAGCAGCCCAATCCGCCGTCCCAGACCGGCGCGGACCCCGGGGGACCCCACTTCAACTGGAAGCATGAGAGCAGTTACGGTCGCGGGCGAGGAACACACGCTTGGTTACAGTCACGGCGGGGGGATGGGGAGGTCCAGGGGCTCCGGCCAAGCTGGATGACAAGCAGTGGCTTGGAGATGCCCCGTTGAAGGGCAAACGCTGCCCCTTCTGAAAGGTCCCTACAGGCACCTTCTGTCAGCCAGAGCCCCCCGTGGGCGGGGGCAAAGGAAGCAGGGTCAGCAAAGACAACCCCCACGGGAGGAGAAGCCCACCGACATGCAGGCATGGCCCCGGATTTTGCTCCCTGGGGCCGAGGGACCCTCACCGTGCCTCCACACCACCTCCAGGGGCCACACTCACGCTACCGGGTGGATCCTGTGTGTGGAAGGGGCCACCGATAGCCCCTCACCCCGGCGGCCAAGGCGTCGTCAGGGCGGGCCCCCATCCTTCCTGCCCCAGGGCCCTGGCCAGCCAAGCGTGGCTCAGCAGAGTCGCCGGGGAGCAAAGTGGCTGCACGTGGAGGCCCAGGGACATGGACAGAGACTTGACCTGGGCGAGGCCCTCTTGTCCAGGACTCTTCAACAGGACTCCCTAGGCTTGTCCACCGCGTGTACAACTGCACAAGGCAGCCCCATGGAGACACCCAGTCCCAACCCCACAGGGGAAACCCCGGAGCAACCCAGCAGCATGTTCTGCTCTTAGTATCAGCAATATCAAGGAGGAAGGGGTGTCCCTCAGGGAACTGCTCAAGGGCTTCTGTGACCCCCAAGTCCCCAGGTTAGACAGCAAGAACGGCCGCCACCCCAAGAATTCTGCCACCCCACGTCGGTGGCTAGCTGCCCGCTAGCTTGGGTGCGGTCTGAAGCTCCTGGTCAGAGATCATTACTGCCAGGGGAGGACCAACGGCCCTGAGACAAGCTACATGTGGCCAAGCTGGTGACGACGCCATTCCGCACCCAAAGCCGGTTTCTGGTCCCCTGCAGCCGGGGCAGGGGTGGGGGGCTGTCACAGGCGGATCCAGCCAGTCCGTGAGCAGACCTGACCTCCCCTGGAAAATGACCTCCCTGAGGTTCCAGCATGGCCCTTGGGGGCTGGGGGACTGTGCCCACACTGACCGGCTGACACAGCACTGGGTGTTGAGTCCTGTACCCTCGCCCAGGTCTGTGCAACTCTGCAAACCGGTGGCACCTTCTCCAGGCCCGCAGCCCTGGTGCAGCGAACGCACCCAGCAACACGGGGCCAACGCCCACCAGAGACAGGGCAGCCAGCAAGGGGGCTGCCTGGGCAGCAGAGACCACCCAGAGCCGGTTCCCAGGCCGCAGCGCTCCCTGCGGGGGGGGGGGGGGGGTGTCACACCAGCACAGAGGGGCAAAGACAGAAGGAGGAGGCAGACTGGTCGGAATGCCGCCCGTCCCACCCACCAGGGGCTGAGTGACAGCGGGGGCCGTCTCCTGATCACGGAGAGCCTGACCCCTGCAGGCCAACGTCCCTGCGCCATCCTGGAGATTATCTGGATTTTGATAAAAGTTCCACTTTGCCTTTTTGGAAAAAAAAAAGAAAAAAAAAAAAAAAAAACCCGAAACACAAAACACAACAACACACCAGATAAGGGAACTTTTTCCTAAAAGAGCATTTCTACAGAAGCTCTGCGGCCCTCCTTTCTGGGTGGCAGTGGCTTCGCGGAGGCGATCCCTGCATGACAAAATGCCCCACCGCGAGAGGGCGACTCACTGGCCCCGGCCAATTCACGGAGGGGTGGCCATCACCCCGAAAAGGAGGCCGTACCCCAGCCCTCAGTCCACGGATGTTGCCCTAAACGATCCCACCGGACGTGACCTTCAGCACCAGCAGCTGCTCACTCAGTTGGTTTTTATGGCGCGTCCGCGTGGTCCTGGGCGTCAGGACTCCCCCTCCTTTCTACAGCCGGCAGCCCTCCGTTGTATGTGAGATGCATTTCGTTTCGTGTGATCCCCACCCCCTGCCACCCGGCTCTGTGAGGGCTGCTGTGTCTCCTGCACTCACAGCTTGTCTCCCACTTAACCTCACGCTCGGCCGCCAGGCCCACACCCTGGGAGGCCCCTCTGCCCATGGGGGCGGAGAGGACTGTATGTGTGTTCTGGAGCCAGAACAGGAAGGAAGGAAGCGCACACAGGCCAAGAGCACCCAGGGTCAAGGCAGAGGCCACCAAGAGCCTGGAGGAAAAGCTGGGGTCAAAGGCCAAGCAGGCTCGCGGCCTCTAGACACTGGGCAGATGGACCGGGCGGCCCACACAGCTCGGAGCCCTGCGGTGCAACAGCCCTGGGGGGCCTCGCAAGCCGGAGCAGCTGACAGCACCAGGCCCCCCCAAGGGGCCCCGCCTCACGCCGTTAACTCGCCTTTCCAGATTAACCTCATTTCTAATCACCAGGCCAGGTGGCGGGGGGAGCTTGGGGGCCCAGGTGCACTCGGACGGGGAGGCCATCGGCAATTAGCAACCTCATCCCCCGGGGTGGGGGCGGCATCACTGGCCGGCCAGAGCCCGTAATCGATCCCTGACCACGCACCCACAATTAGCACGCGGCCACCGCGACCCCGCTCCTGTGACCGCCCTAATTAACCGGAGGCACACGGCAGGAGCCCGTCCGCGGGCACAGGCGGCGCGGGGTGACAGGAGGCGTCCCACGCCGTCACCTCTGCTGTCTGCCTTGGAGGGTTAGCGCCGAGGCCGCCGGGCACGTGTAATTAGCAGCTGAGACCCCAGACTCGGGAGACGGGAGCGGGGGAGCCTGGAAACCAAACTGCAAACCTTCCACGCCGTCCGCTCTCCCTGACACACATGCAGTTGGCCACCAACACAAGGACCTGCCGCCCGCTGGACGCTGCCGTGGGAACCTCCGTGCCAGGCTGCGGGAACCTCCGTGCCAGGCTGCGGGAACCCCCAACCCACCCCTCCAGCCCACCACAGCGGCCGGGGTCTCTGGGCCTCACCCTGCACCCGGTTAGTGTTCTCAGCACTGATGACAGGGAGGACATGAGGGGACAGTCTCCCTAGAAAGGGACCCTCAGGATGATTTCCTGGGAGGCCCCCTTCCGGGGCCGGGCCACCCAAGCCTGGTGGGGTTGGAAGGGGCAGTACCCCAGGGACGGACTTGTGCAGGAGAGTACGAGGGGCCCGGCCCCAGCGCCAGCAAGGGTTTTCCTGGCTTCCACCAGGGCAGGCATCCACCAGGCCCCACGGCACAACCAGGGCGGGGCGGGGGCCCCCCGAGGGCCCCATGTGCACCTGCTTGCCAGGGCCCTCTGCTCGCCCCTGTAGTCTGTCCCGTCCCAGGTCCATCTCGGGAGGACCCTGGGCAGGCTGCTGTACTCCAGAGGACGGCCAGCCTCCAGCGCCCCACAGCCCTGGGGTGCCCTGCCCTCCCCCTCCTCTCCTCCCCCAGGCCTGGCAGGCAAACACCATTTGCACCCAGAAAGCAGGCTGGCCGACAGCACGACGCGCTCTGCTCGCTGAGGCTGAGGGGCTGAGGGGCCGTGGGGCCCGCAGGAAGCCTGCCGGCTGGCGGTCACCCAGCACCACTCCCTGGACAGTCGCAAAGTCAGCCTCCCTGGGACGTGCCCAATGGAACAGCCACAGCGTGAGCCTTTTGGGAAGCTAAGTGTGTAGGTGACAGAGACCAAATGCCATCGAAGGCAGGGGCGTCCTGTAGCCCGGCACAGTGGGGACAGTAGGGGTGTGGGGGGGCACAGGCAGTCCTTGCCCAGCTGAGGGCCATGGTTCCGACAACCCATGGGTCTGGGCAGAAGGGGCTGGGAAAGAGGCCCCGCACACCTGCTTCCAGGCCGGGGGTCTCCCCACCTGCCCACCAGCCGGGGTCCTCACCCCGCCTCACGGCTGCCAGCCACCAGCACGGTCCTGGGCCCAGCCTTGCACACACGACGGTCCGTAAACCCAAATCAGCAAAGACAAGGCGTCGGTCTTTCTTATGAGCCACGTTTCCAGGGCCCTGTTACTGGCCGACGGGGGAACTGGGGCTGGCGAGGACGACGGGCTCGGACAGCTGGGGGGCGAGGAGCACCGAGGCAGAGGGAGCCCTGGGAAGGCGACAGGGCCAAGTTGGTGCTGTGTCACCACGGCCAGGGGAAGCCTGCCATGCGAAATGC